CAATAACAAATGATCGAATGGGAGTTTCACCATAGACAGTCTCTTCGCGTCCGATCACTCCGCCCGTAAGTAGAGCATGCAATCTAGCTCTTTGATCTGCATCTTCAAATGTAAAGACCATTGTGGATCTAGGGTTTCCATCATCAATCTTTAACAAAAGTGCTGGATAGCCGTTGTCACCCCTTAGAAGACTGAACTGGATGGGTGTCATGGGTAAGATATCTTGATCGATGCCTCGCAAATTTTTGGTCATCTTTCCCGTCATCACAGCAAGTCGGAATCCTCTGTGCTTCTTCCTGGGGCCCGTAGCCGCTTTTTCGACGACACTCTTTTCGAACAACCTTACCTCGCATTTTGGCACGGGTTCTCCTGGGAACGACTGTGCTTGCTTTTCTTGACCAAAGCATTGAAAAGCCTTGATGGTCATTTGAAAGACAAGATCCTCATCATCCAGTCGAGCAAGACTTTGTCGGACACTGTTTTGAAAATCATAGGAACCTCTGAGACTCCTAAAATCCTGTGGGGTACAATTGATCCGAAGCTCAAAGCCTCGCGGAAGTTTGATATTAAGCGAGCTGTTCTTTTGTATCCAGGAGACATCATTCCACGTGGGCCCGCGAGTTTTGTCGTGCTGAATCACAAGCTTTAAAGTGCCAGTTTGATTGCTTATTACGAAGCTCAAGTCGTCTTCATGATTTCCTCGAACGATAGATAAAAGACAAGGGCAACGATAATGTGACGAGGCTGCTTCCTCTAAAAGGTAGACATCTACAAAGTGACGTCCGTAGGTGAAACTTGTGCCCGAGTCACCTAATGGAAGAGCTCCAGATAGGGTCAATGTTGTATTTGGCCGCTGTAGTGCTAGCAATGATCGGTCGCCTTCATCTCTGGTCCATATCTGATTATCGTTACCTTGGAGCAATGGCGCGTCTTCGCCAAACGGCGGGAGAATGTTGTTGCGTTTCATAGACTGCGTTATTTGATCAGTAAAATTAGTCTAGCAATATTCATTGGTGCTTACCATTGTCAATTTTTTCAAGCCAGATATAATTGCTTGTCGTGATTCCAGAGCGTCATTAATAATGTGATCATTCGTTTGGTTGTTCATTTCGGGGCATTGGGGAGCAATCTTTTCCATTAGCCAATATGCCTTGGCTAAATTTGAGTAAGCCTGTTGACGACCAATTGCATTGTTCTGTCTTGCTTCTGGGGTTGTAGATCGGTCTCTGATGCTACTTTCCAGCTCGGATCGGCCTTTGAGAAACCACCACAATGCACCTCTGACAAGCTCTTCTAATGAACATGACGGGAGTGGTTTTAGCGACTCGGCTGAAAGTCTGAATAACGTGAACATATGCGAAGTGCGTCTGGAAAAGTCATTTAGGGCATCATCTCCTACAGCCAATGCAGCATCTTTCAGATTAAATGTTGGGGCCCGTGTAGTTGGAGGGGGACTTTCAACCGCACTAGCGGAGTTTGTTGTGGAAGTTCTTGAAAATGATGAAGGACTCTCGTCAGCGACAGGAGGATTTGATCTCCCACTGTCACTGGGCGTCTCGGGCCTCCCAAACTGACTCAATCCTGGTGAAGAGCTTAATTGTGTATTCTTCATGGTATTTAGATGAGCAGCTTCTCGTGGGGGAGACTTCTCATTTGCTGTCAAAGCTGCCAGCGCGAGATCTCGTTCATCAAAATGTCCCGACACCGCCCTTACCAATGCTTTGCCCTCTGATGCACGCATCGCCGCTTCTGCCTTGCCATTGAAGGAGCTACGCGATCCGGTTCTTGCGTTACTATTGTAATTTTCTTCATTTCTTTGATTTCTATTGGGCTGGGGAGGTTCACTATCGGATGCAGAGTCATTGTCTGCGATCGTTGAAAAGCCAGTTTGCGTACGTCGTAAAGGACCGGGTCTAAACATGTCGGGGTCCCCAAATTTATCGGCAGGTCCCTGTGATGAGCCATATGGCGGGGGAGGACCTGGTCGTCGGGTTTGTTTTTGCTGCGGAATTGTTGCAGCTCGACTTCGCAGAGCTTCTGCGATTTCTGCTGTTGGTGAGGCACATTCGTCGCCTCCTTCACCTATGACTTCCGGCTGGGCGTCTGTAAACCTCACGACCAATCCTTTCCTACTCCGTTTTGGGCTCGCAGATCGATTGCGCCTAGCATTATTTACTTCAGCCGCCGTGGGCCATCGTTTTGCAGTAGATGTATCAATTCGACCAAGAACAGGAGGTCTAGGAGGGGTATTCGAGGCTGCGGTGGATGATGCAGTGTACAGTTTATCAGTAGGACCATGAAGAAAGTCGGATACTTCTTCTGCCGAGGATGGTTTCTTTTCCTTTCCAAACAATTTTCCCATCAATCGACCTTTGAGTTGCTTGTGCTCAATGTCTTTTCTACTATCGGTTGCGTCCATCTTCCCATTGACAATGATCTACTGAACTGTTGGAACTTGCAATCAACCACACGACAAGGAAAACTATGAAGCAACGAATTTGATCTTTAGAGGAATGAAGCAATGAACATTAATAAGTTGATCAATTGTGAATTGAAAATGAAGATTATATTGCAATTGTGATTGCAATGAAATTGAGAGAGAGTATTCACTTGCGCGTCCAAGCCTTCGGGGTTGTTTATCTGGTCAGTATAATTAAAAGGAAGATAGGGTATTCCTACGATCCAAATTGCCGCGAAATGAGGCACAGCTAAGGCCCAACATGTACTTCCAATTCCCGTTCCAAAGCCTATTCAAAAGGCAAAATAATATGGCTGCAACTGCAAGGGCGTCGTGGATCCTTACTCGGAAAGTGTTTCAGGGCAGTTACTTTCATTTAATCGATGCTTGAATAAAAGTGTAATGGCATGCGACTCGTATCAAGTTTCCAAAGAAATGAATGAGTGAGCCTCAATGGCCATGGGGGTGGAGACAATTAACAATGGAAAAGATTTAAGGGTCCTACATAGTACATGCTAACCTTACCGGCACAAGAGATATATGTACCTAGCACACACTTGGGTAGATGGGCATGTTGGTTTGGATCACTGCGTGTTTAAGGTTATGGGCGAAGCTCAATTGAATAGTCCTGCTCCTCCTCGCACAACCTCTTTTTTTTGCGTCGACAGCGCAAAATGAATGGTTCAAGTGATATTCACCATGATTTTATATACCAGTACGGTCTGGGCGAAGCTCAATGGAATCCTCACCACCTGCAACTTTCACTTCTTTCCATCGTACTTCTTACTATCGGGACAATCTGGATGCTTTCTCACCCCGGCTGTGCCAAGTATTCAATTGGGGTTGATCGTACGTAGTTCGTATTTAAGATAAGATCCTATCAGTGAAGCGCGATTTCTCTCTGGTGCAGGCTGTACGGGTGAAGGAAAGAAAGCATTCAACGGGCATTGGTAATGGACGATACCTAGGTACCTAGGTAGGTTGGGAAGTATTGGTGAAGGTCAATCGAATGAATGAATGGACTGGACAGTGGACACCAACATCCTGCACCTGCAGACTACCTAGTATGCGATAGATATGCGATATTGCTCTGTATTGGACGGATTGTGTACCTACCTATGTGAAGTTACCCATCCGCTGAAACCTTAGCTTTACACGATCATCGGTGGGTACGAATGTGTACGGAGTACGGAGTACCTGCCTCAGTGCTTCGTACATCCATCGTATGATGAGGATCTTTGACTTGTTAATAATTCATTGGGATGGGGATTCATCGTCTCCGCCTACCAGTATGGCCCTCACCAACACTGTACCTGACACAATTGATTCATAGAAACTATTTCATTCATGGACAGGTCTGACACTGCAGTGAGTGTAATATAACACAGAGAGTGTTCTTTCCACAGTACATAAGTTTCAATTCTCTAACCAAGACAACAACGACAGCGACAATGAGAACGACAGCGACAACAAATCACACGTGTTTCGGTACCTCCTGGGTAGTATTCATCCAACACACACAATCTCCATCACAATCTCATCGTACATAAATATCCATCTAACCCCGCCAGCTTACCTTACCTAGGTACCTTCCAGTTATTAATGCCACGCTTCTCCAGCCACACATTGTCCCAATAATTTGGCAACCTTGGAACCTTGGAACCCCAAACACTCTCAGTCACTGGTTCACAAGCCCGATTTTACAAGCCTTCCTCACTATCTCGCATATCGAATATCTGCAGCTCAATCAACTATCTATCCCACTGCACCAGCCGTCTTGTCCCTTACTGTATTCAGTTTGCAATACATGCGGAGATTGTCCAAGCAAGCCAAATTGTAACGGGAACACCGAGGGAGCCCATTTGAGGAGGGGAGATTTCTAATAGTCATTACACATTTAATCACAGATTTAATGATGATAAGTATTGTAGCAACTCAAATTCAGCTGATTTCTTCTTGAATACCCGCAATGCAAAGACTTCCTTCTCTCAGGTGCACTAGGTGGGTTGAACATTCGAATGGGGATATAGAAGGAACCTGGAATAACCCTCCCCTCCCCTCCACATTTACATATTCCTTGTACTGCTGAAAATCGCTAGGGCTACAAGGACCATGGCAGCATGGCACACACTAGGTAATAAGTTGGGTACTCTCGACTCTGCAGCAGTGCAGAGTTGGTACAGAGTAGGAGGCAGAGAAAGACCAACAGACTCAGAACTTGCTCAGAATTTAGAAGAGGCCACTTTACAGCAAGCGACGTGATAAATTATAATGCTTGCTGCTTGCTGCTTGCGAGTGAAATGATGTACACAAGGATTAGCAAAATGGAAGGGTATCATTTGATGTTCGGAGTGCTCTGTGTGAAGATGATATTACGGGTACCCATAAGAAGTGAAGTGAGGAGGAGCATTGGAGCATTGGAGCATTGGAGCATTTATTCTTATATTGTGTTATATTGTACGATTGGGGATTAATGAAAAAAGGAAACATGTCTGAAAACAACTCAAGAAGTGTAATGCACATCAATAACAAGGAAACCCCCTCTCTCCCCCCCCCAATCATTTATCTAGGTTCATACAGCTGTCAACAAACCATAAAAAATCATAAAAAATCAAGGCTTGGTTTGATTAAATCGACTGTGAATCCCCAGGCCCTAGGTACTTCCTACTCATCTTAAAACCCTTTGGGTCTTTGTCTGTCGTCATCGCCAATCGTCTGGGTGAAGGAAGATCAGCTACAAATCCCTTTTACATTTCTCTCTCAATCATCCTCATAGATAAAAAAACACCCCCCTTCACTTCTTCCCAACTTTTGAGGAAAAGGGACTCCATTTGAAGCTCTGGATAATTGATATCCATGGTCTTACTTTCAAACTAAACACCAATTACCCAATTCTTTAGGTGGTTCGGATTGGCCAATTTAATTTAATTCATTCCCTATCTTACCTCTCCCGAAGCTATAAGCTTCTAGCCTCCCGCTATCACCACCGCCCTTTTCCATAGCTCCATTCACTTCCTCTGCCTGCGAAATCAGTCTGAAGTCAATATTTGAGTATTTCTCAATCAGAAACTTTATCTTCTATTTATTTGCTGACTACTCTTTTCGACGACATCTCCCGTCGTTGTCTGGTTGAAGTCGGCACTTTTATAAGTGACCTTTGCAATTCGGCCTTCTTGATCGATCCGGGACAGCACAACCACAGCAAATATGTCGACAACAAGGGGATTGGAGGGAGAGCTCAAAGCACAGGGTGCAGTAGAGGCAGCACAAGATCCTAACAGTTCAGTGACAGCAGCAGATGCTGAAGCGAAAATTGTCAATGAGGGTAAAAGGGCAGGCGTGCCAGCTTTCTCCTTTGACCCAGATGCGAGTCCAGAGGAGAAGGCAGCACAGGCTAGGGCTGTAGGTTATAGTCTTTCGGATTCTTGGTCATCTGCTAATGTCAAATTTCTTGCAGCGTATCCCAGAAGGATTTCACCATGAGCACAAATCGAAAGGTGTCGCAATCGCTACGGATATTGACGATGGTTCACCGGGAGCTTACGACCTACCACCTCCCTCTACTGCCGGAGCTCTTGCAGCTCCAACAAAGGGAAGCAAGCAATCAGAACAGCCTGTAGCAAACGGATATGTCGATGATGATGAGGATGCCCGCTGGATCGAACGAGCTGGCTGGGCACCCAGATTTGGTTCTGGAGATTCTGGCGAATCTATAGAAGGAGAAAGTCTTCTAGACCATCAAACTTGGATAGAGGGCAAGATTGAAGATAAATTTTATGGGGGTAATTTAATGCTGCCTTCTGCTTGCGGATTTTACTAATTTTATGTCAGATTGGTATCAAAATACTGCCGTCATCATATTTGCATGTCTTTCGTCATGGTTTGTGGCCACGCTTGGTGGAGGGCTTAGCTGGGTATTCATTATCATGGCAATTTGTGGTACATATTATAGGACTTCGATACGTCGAGTAAGACGCAACTTTCGTGACGATATCAATCGCGAGCTTGCCAAAAACAAGCTTGAAACAGATACGGAAAGTCTGGAATGGATGAACAGCTTCATGGTCAAGTTTTGGCCAATTTTCCAGCCAGTGTTCGCCGAGACAGTCATTAACTCCGTTGATCAAGTCTTAAGTACAGCAACCCCGGCCTTTTTGGATAGTCTTCGCATGAAAACGTTCACTCTGGGTACAAAGCCACCTCGCCTGGAGCACGTAAAGACGTATCCCAAAGCAGAAGATGATATTGTACTCATGGACTGGAAGTTCAGCTTCACTCCAAACGATCATGCAGACATGACTGCCCGCCAAATCAAGAATAAGGTCAACCCAAAAGTTGTCCTCGAAATCAGAATTGGAAAAGCAATGATCAGTAAAGGTCTAGACGTTATTGTCGAGGATATGGCTTTCTCAGGCCTCATGCGTGTTAAGATCAAGCTTCAGATTCCATTTCCTCATGTGGAAAAGATCGAAATTTCATTCCTTGAGAAGCCTAGTAAGTTTTGTTATCTTTTTTTTCTATCCTATGAATGCTCGTGTTTCAATACATTATTATCCGCAAGCTAGAACGTCCTCGAGATTTTCATGTTTCGCCTGGACACAAAGCTGTCCCAGTCTTTGGGGGCAGCTTCAGACTTCAACTGTCTATATGTCGCGTACACTTAGTAGAAAATTTAGGCTGACTTTTCAAAAGCAATCGATTATGTGTGTAAACCTCTTGGAGGTGAAACTCTTGGATTTGACATCAATTTCATTCCTGGACTTGAAAGTTTTATTCTCGAACAGATCCATGCGAATATCGGACCAATCATGTACGCACCTAATGTGTTCCCAATTGAAGTCGCAAAAATGCTGTCTGGGTCAGCTGTTGATCAGGCTATCGGTGTATTGGCTGTCACTCTCCATGGGGCTCAAGGGCTTAAGAATCCTGACAAATTTGCTGGAACCCCCGATCCATATACTGTCCTGTCAATCAACAATGGTCCTGCTCTAGCACAAACCAAGATCATCAAGGAAAACGCTAATCCTAAATGGAATGAGACGAAATATGTTATTCTTACTTCTTTCACCGAAAGTCTCACAATGGCTATTTTCGATTATAACGAATACCGAAAAGACAAAGAACTTGGTACTGCCACTTTCCCATTGGAAAGGGTGCAAGAGGTTACGGAATATGAGAACGAACAGCTTGAGGTTATGGCAAATGGCAAGGCACGTGGCCTACTATCTGCAGATCTACGCTTCTTCCCCGTCCTCGAAGGACGTACTCTCGCAGATGGCACGACTGAACCTCCTCCTGAGTCTAACACCGGTATTGCTCGTTTCTGTGTCGAGCAAGCTAAAGACCTCGATGGTACCAAGAGTCTCATTGGTCAGCTTAGCCCCTACGCTGTACTTTTACTAAACAACAAGGAAATTCATGTCACAAGGAAATTAAAGAGAACGAACAATCCTATTTGGGACAACGGATTTAAGGAAATTCTCATCACTGATAGAAAGAGTGCAACTTTTGGTCTTGTCATTAAGGATGATCGAGAACTCGGCACCGATCCCATCCTTGGCACATATCAGATCAAACTCAATGACATGCTGAACTTGATGGAAAAGGGTCAAGAGTGGTACACGCTCGCTGGAGCAAATTCTGGCAGAGCGAAGTTGACGCTTCAGTGGAAACCAATCGCGTTGCAAGGCGTGGGCGGAGGCACTGGCGGTTACGTTACTCCTATCGGTGTCATGAGATTTCATTTTAAGAATGCGCGAGATCTTCGAAACCTTGAAACTCTGGGTAAATCTGATCCTTACGTCAGGGTCCTCTTGTCTGGCATAGAAAAGGCCCGAACAGTTACATTCCAAAACAACCTTAACCCAGATTTCGACGAAGTTGTATACGTCCCCGTCCACAGTGTCCGGGAGAAGTTAACTTTGGAAGTTATGGATCAAGAGACTATCAACAGCGATCGTACTTTGGGATCGATCGAAATCTTGGCTGCCGACTACATTCAACAACTTGAGAATGGGGAATTCATTGTACATGATGACAAAGTACCACAAGCCGGTGGATTGCGCATGCATGGAAAGGGCTCCCCCAGAGGAACACTCAATTATACTGTAGCATTCTATCCATGTTTGAACGTCGCAGATCCCGAAGATGAGGAAGAAGCTAAAGAAGAGGCCGCCCGCAAAAAGTCTTCAGAGAGAGGTCGCATAACTGGTATGGAAAATGGCGTCAAGGATGTTGTGGAAAATGGGGACGAATCAGAAAAGCCTACACGATCTTCGAGCGAATCCGCGATGGCTGCAAAGCTTGCGGAAGGTGAACAGGAGCAAGAAGAGACCACGAAAGAAAAGCAACTTCCTAAGATTCATCTCACACCCGAGGAATTACTCAAGTATGAATCTGGTCTTATCATTTTTAAGATAATTGACTGCGACTTGACCCGAAGCAATGTTCACGTCGAAGTTGTCGTTGATGATATGGCATTCCCGTCATACTCGTCCTCCACAATCAAATCGAAGAGAATGACTTTGGATGAGATAGGTGATTGTTTTGTTCGTGAACTAGATTTCTCCAAGATCACCATACGTATTCGAGAAAAGCAGAGTAAGGGGGATGACAAGAAAGACTCCACTATTGCCCGCCTAAGTGGGGAGACACTAGCTACCCTAAAACAATGCCTCAACAATCCTACCATGTAAGTGCAAAATAACATCGATTTCTGAGGGTTACCTTTCTCTCACGATCCCTACTTTATACAAGTACTAACATATTCCATAGACTCAAGCTTCGAGATGATGACGGACATACTAGTAATATCAAGGTCTCACTTAAGTACATCCCAGTTAAGATGGATCTGGATCCAAGCGAGAGTATCAACAACATGGGAAAACTTCGAGTAGATGTTTTGGATGCTACTGATCTTCCATCGGCAGACCGCAACGGGTACTCAGATCCATACTGCAAGTTTGAATTCAATGGCAACTCGGTGTTCAAGACTAAAGTCCAGAAGAAGACTTTACACCCAGCTTGGAATGAGTTCTTCGAGCTCGATGTACCTTCAAGAACAGCAGCGAATTTCATTTGTAACGTCATGGATTGGGACTTCGGTGATAAGGCCGACTTTCTTGGCAAGGCCGAGATTAACCTAAATCTCTTGGAACCATTCAAGCCCAAGGAAATGAGCTTAGCTTTGGAAGGTAAATCGGGGTCTATTCGTCTGCGCTTGCTATTCCGCCCAGACTACGTGACTAGGTCGAGACAAGGAAGTTCGACATTCTCTGGTACATTTGCTACGCCAGGAAAGATTGTCACTGGAGTCGCAGGAGCTCCAATCAAGGGTGTTGGCTTTGCGGCACATGGTGTTGGCAAAGGAGCTTCCTTTATTCGACACGGCTTCAAAAGTAAGAAGAAGGATGAAGACGACCTGAATGGCAGCATTAGTTCCGAGTTAGATAACGACGCTCCTATTACTAATGGAAGTGGCGGATTAAAGCGTGGAAGTGCCCTCCCCGGCTCAGGAGCACCAATTCCGGAAATCATGCCTCCAAAGACACCGCCATCAGAACCGAATCATGCACGAACCAAGTCTTTCGGAGCATCTTCGGGGCACTCTGGCATGTTCGGTTCTCCTGGTGCTTCAGGCGGACCTGTGGGTATTGCAAACTTCACGATTGTGTCTGCATCTGGATTTCCACCTTCTTCAAGCGTTATGGTCTATGTTAAATCACTGGGTGCCAAGCCTAAAGTCATTCACAAGACTGATCATATCAAATCGCCTAACGGCACCGTACTTTTCAACGAGAAGAAAGAAAGCTTCAAATGCACCACTTCTGCAGATGCAACCTTCCAAGTGTCTGTCAAGGCACACAACACCTTTGGCTCAGACGACGATCTTGGCGAAGGAGCACTCGTCGTAGATGAAACTGGCACAATGCAAGAAAAGCAAATCCGTTGTGGTGCGGGCTACATTACGGTAAAATCTAATTTTATTATGAGCTCTACTGAGAATGGATCGGAGAGTCCGAAGACCCGTTCAGGTTTTGGAAGAAGTTTGCTTAGCAAGAAAGAGACTGGCCGAACTAGCAGAGACATCACACCCGTCGGTACACATGGCTCTTAGTAGGATGCAATACTAGAGTCGGTATTCAGGGGCAAATGAGGGATAGATGGTAGGTTTTCTGGCATGGGGGTGGCCTGTCTCTTCCGCGTGTTTGAGGAGGAGGGATGGGTGGTCGAAAGCTTACGATGGATTTTGCTTTCCTGTTCTTGTTTCTATGGGAAGGAGATACCATGGCGAGTTTGGTTGTTCATTTATTGCGCGTTGTTCCTTACCTTATTTGACGAATTTCCTTGATTGAAGCTGGCGCAATTAATATTGGTACAATAATCATCTGGAGAGAGGAGGAGAGTTTTGAAAGCACTGGGGTAAAGGGGTCGATGGGCGATGTAGGCCTGGATGATGTGGAATGGATATTTGAATTGAAAAAGGAGTGGGAAGGGGTAAGCAATCGCTTGAGAGGCAGACAAATTCATATTTTCAATATTGTACTGTATTATGTCGTGGAAAGCTATGCTGAGTACATTGCGTGAAATGAAAATAAAAAGATCCTAATACAACACTTTATCCATTTACTTTGTAGATTGATTTGCAAATTGATTGATTGCCTTCTTCTTCCACTACTCCTGTTGTCTTTCCCACTTTTGATGTTTGATACAATCGATATATTATCTCTGTAACCCTCGGAGGGATCCGATGGAGTTGCCTTTGTGATTTTCTCAATAATTTCGAATTCTCGCCGAGAATATTTAAATATCACGAGCTAATCTGCTAATGCAGTAGAACGACCCTCAGCGCATGCAAGTACAGGGTTAAAAGGGCCTAGTCGACAAAAGATTGGACCCAAGCTGATAGAAAAGTGCCAGGTTATTTGCAAGTTGCAAGCAAAGATTTTGTTGGACCTTGTTCTTGGATGGAAAAAAAATTCATATGTCTTTACTATAAATGTACTTGTACGATAACTCATTGTATGCTTTTTGTTCGTAACAATAAGAAAAAGTGTTGGAAAGATTGAATTGAATCATCATTCTGATTTTCCAGAGTTAGAGTTGCATTAAACTAACTTTTCTGACGCAATTGGTTTTAATAAGAGCAACTTGTGAATCGAATCACACGCTCTTTCTACCCGCTAACTCGAAGGTCTGCAGAGCTGCAGAGCTGCGTTTCCCCCGCCACAATTTTGAGTTTCCATTATATAAAACATTCCTACCCCGCAAAACAGCTCGAGCTACGAACTTACGATTCAGACCCATTGGACCACGAGGTATTCATAGCGTCACCGCTGCCTGTTTCTCTTTCCTTTAGGGTGCGATTTTCGCGGAATATAAAAGTCGGCGTGTTGTCGCAGAGACGGAGAACGAGGTAGACATTCCACCATCATGTCGCTGTCGCAGAGAGTAACGTCGTTTGAATCGCTGTCGCCGGAACGAGGCAGGTCCCCGGCGGGTTCGCAGAGGAGAAAATTGAGCTTTAGTCCGTTGCCGGGAAATTGGGGGGATGATTTGGAACCGCAGGAGCAGGTGGTCGAGGAGATTGAAATGGTGGCTGCGTTTGAGGTTTCGAAGGGGAAGCGAATTTGTAAGTGTTTTTCTTGGGGATGTTGGTTGGTCGTGATGCGCATGCGGCATTGGAATGTTGGACTGCGAATCTTCATCTCTACATCGTCTCGTCTGATGGTTTAAAATCGTGATGCGGAAATGTACTAATTGAACGCTCAATTGTAGTACAAGTCGCAATTGCAGTGGTGTACTGTCTCCTCGCTGCCGGTATCGTCTTTGGATATGCAGCGCTCAAACCAGTTCTTATCCGCGAAGGTGTTTATCGAGAATATTGTACAGAAGATGAATTGAAAGAGGGAGTACGAACTTGCTTTGAGCAGGAGATACATTTGAACTTGATGTTCACCATTGCTGCGGTCGGTACGAATGTTGCAGCTTTACCAATTGGCTCTATCTTGGATAACTTTGGTCCAAGGGTAGCTGGTATCATAGGAAGCATTTTCTTGGCGGTTGGAGCTACTCTCTTTGCTTTTGCTGATGAGTTACCCTTTGATGGATTTATTCCAGGATATTTGTTGTTGGCACTGGGAGGAGCTTTCTTCTTGATCACCTCTTATCAGCTTTCGAATACCTTTCCCAAACATTCTGGTTTGATCTTGGCTCTTTTGACTGGTAAGTAATTGTTATTTTGCCTCTTCTTTCGCATTTGACCTAATGATTTTCAAGGTGCCTTTGACACCTCCAGTGCGCTCTTCCTCGTATATCGAATCATATATCAATGGAGTGATGGAACTTTCCACATCAAACAGTTCTTCCTCATCTATCTGATCGTTCCGGCTTTTATCCTCATCGCACAAATTTTCGTCATGCCTTCGCAATCGTACAAGACAGTGGGAGAAATGGTTAAACAGGTCGAAGATGACGATTTGTTCGACGATCAAATGGACGAAACTACAGCTCTCCTTCGCGAAGAGCGTCGTCAACGTCGTGATTCCATTGTCTCGGAAATAACCGAACTTTTGGGCACCAAGCCGGGCAGTAAACAAGTCAAGCAAGAAGAGCGCAAGAACAAAATCTCCGGCGTATGGGGAGTGTTACACGGAAAAACCGTAGTACAACAAATTCTGTCTCCGTGGTTCGTTCTTATTACCCTATTTACCGTTATCCAAATGACACGGATCAATTTCTTCGTCGCCACCATTCGTCCACAGTACGAGTACCTCCTTGGTTCTTACAACAAAGCCGTCGATGTCAACACTTTCTTCGATCTGGCTCTTCCACTAGGAGGCGTCCTCTCAATCCCTTTCATTGGCATCATTCTCGACAATACCAGTACCACATTTGTGCTCTCCCTCCTCGTGACCATCGCGACCACTATTGGCGTTCTCGGCATGCTCCCCTTTTCCTGGGCCGCCTATGCGAACATCTCTCTCTTCGTCCTCTACCGTCCCTTCTACTACACCGCCGTATCCGATTACTCAGCCAAGGTCTTTGGATTCCGTACGTTTGGAACGGTCTACGGATTGATTATCTGTTTGGCAGGTCTTCTCAATTTCAGTCAAAGTGGATTAGATGCCCTCCTTCACAAAGTCTTCAACGGAAACCCAGTACCGATTAACGGTATGTTGATGGGCTCAGCATTGGTGGTAGGAATCATCCTCTGTGCATTTGTGGGTTGGAAAGCATACACCTTGAAGCGAGATGGCTTAGAAATGGAGGCAGAAGCTGCGAGAGAAACAGTGATGCCTGGTGCGGAGAGTCCGGAACGATTATAAGTTCTGGATTATTTTATCACAGTAATATTATTTGGAAAATTGGTTCTGGCGGTTGGAAATATAAATTGATGGATGGATGGATGGATGCTTGGAAGCATGGACCGGCGTTGTTTGGAATATCCTCTCTGTCTAGGCAATTAATGAGCGTGCTTGGTTTGCATCTGTATTTGGATTCGGATTTAGGGAGTCGTCTCATACATGCATGTCTTATCATATCTTACCATACCATACCATACGTATACGCACGCATATATTATTTTCTGGGAGCTTCGTCGATGAGACGGATATCCTGTATTGTTTGCTATCGTTAGGGCATATTTTAGTAGAAGTAATTATCCATATACACACAGGAGAATGTATAATTTGTATTCAATCACTTTGGAGTTTTTGTTTCCTGTGATTATTATTCTTGAGTTATCAATATAAACGCAAAATTGAGTCATGAATATATGTCAAAAGCTAGATATCAAACCAGGTCAACCAATGGCCGCCAGAAAATTGTTTGAAGAAATCCGTTTCAAAGCCACATGGTTAGTTTATGAACTCATATTCACAATCACAATGGCAATCGAGGGGTACAAGAACTTGTAGAGGAAATGCAATTCAATTTTGAATATCCCATTTATAACAAGATGTTAACACATACAATAATGCATACAACAATGTATACAATGCTAGTCCTCGGCATGATGCAAAGGAACCTATGCAACCCAAAATACCTCGTGCATGCTGATTGTCTAAGAAAAGAAAGTACCGCCCTTAAATTCATACATTTTCCATCTAGCCCGTTTTCATCATCCTCTGGTCTAAAATATGAAGGTTGACTCCTTGAAACAGCATGTTGATAAAACATCATTAACCTGCACCCTTTTCTTACCCCCTCTCTACAACTTTTTAGACGCAAAAGATAATTAGCGAACAACGAACAACGAACTACTGCATTACTTTTTGGGCGTCGACGACCCCCTATTTGAAGGCATCCAGCTTTTGGCCAATTTCTACCAACATTGAAGATTCTTTATTGTCCACTGTTTTGGGGGTAGCTATGACATCTTGCGCAGTTTTTCGAAGTTGAGCAATGTTCCTCTGCAAAGTCTGGAGCTTTCGATCAAGGTCTCTCAAAATTGACGATTCTCCATGCTTTGGAGTTTCCGGGTATTCCTTAGGCAGAGCAACGGTCTCTTCCGCAGTGTCATTGTATATGGAGGGGTCAGTTTGTGAGTCATCCAGCTTTTGGTTCAGATCTAACCTTGGTTATTCTCCATCCTTTGGATTTCCTGGGCGCTCTCCTGGCTGAGCAGTGATTTCTTCCGCATCTTGGGGCGTCCTGGCGAGATCGGGTTGGAGAACATCCAAATTTCGATTAATACCTACTACGTTTGACCATGTTCCGTTCTTTGATCCTTCGCGCTGCTGCGCAATCCAGTCCTTGAGCGTACCTATGAGTGGACGTGGACATAAGCGCAACCTCTTGTACCCTTCCCACAAAGAAAAGTATGGCGAGTCACATGAAGGTCGAATGTCCATGTTCATTTCAACACCTGGTGTGGTGTCAATGTATATACTTGGCTTTTCCAGCTTGATCTTAACAATTGGACATAATTTGGGTACAAGCGTTTCCTCCCATGGGACGACTTCATGATCATCAGCAAGCTCATCCCAATTATCTCTTGTGGAGGCCTGCTTTATGATGGTAGGAATCAAAGAATGTCGAATGATGTTTTTGCTTATGCGCTCTGCCAGTGCCTCCAAAGTTTGGAATGACGATTCTTCTATCGTCTAGATATTGTCAAGTGAAATTAGTAAATGGGTTGCGCAAGATGGGGAATATGCTGGCTACCTTCACAACGATCTGTTGTATATCCCAATGAAGATCTCCCTGGCCAACCCATCTATCGATCTCAACATTTGCAACCACATTCTGTTTCATGGTGCGCTCTTTTGGCAACAAGCCTATTATGGTGGGAACTGTAAGGTTATGCAGTCGAAGGGTACTACTTTCTCCGATATGACCAATGCTGCGCAAGACGCCTGCTTCCTGTTCCTCTAACGAGGGTTCTTTGAAAATCGTTTGTGTAGTAAGACTGGCACCAGCTCCTCGTAAAGATGATTTTGGAAGCATGATTCTGATTGAGGACCAATTGACGTTTCTACCTACTGCAATTCTACGCCTAACAAGAACAGAAACGATGAATGAATAGATTGAATTCATAGAGAGTTCGCTTGCAGAGTCAGGTGTTATACCTGTTGCATGATAGGCCCTGACACCATCGATAATTGCTGATTTGATGAGGCCATAATGAATAGTGTCCCCTGCGATGTCATCATCTTCAGATGCCTTCTTAAAAGGTCGTCTTAAAGCAAGGGACACCGAGATGAGAGCTGGTTGTTGTGGACAAGTAGTCTCAACCCAATCTCCAGTCCACCCATCGGCTCCGGCCATGACCTGCAATTGCAAGTCTTTGACGCCAATGACAGCAACTGGCTCTTCACGAGCTTTTGAAAGCTCCCAGCTTGACATCCATGCAGAGGGCTTGAAACTGGTTGCCATGTCCAAGATAGATGAATGATCCTACTTCTATTAGTCTTTGTCTCTGGCCCGATAGACGAATCCCCAATGCTTACTTCACTAAGAATGGTGGAAGTATTGATAAGATCGGCTCTTGAGATTATGTGTTAGTGAATGTAGCAGCCCAGAGATTCGTTGCCAATTGAAGTGAGAGTCAGAGCAATCAGAAGTACCCGTGAACTAATATACAAATTGAAAAAAAGCGAGGGGAATGTTGATGTGATGAGGGTTTGTTTGATGTTTGCATTAATGATAGTAGAGATGAAAATGGAAAAAGCGCAGATAAACTTACTTAGACTCCATCGTGATTGCCAATCAATAAATGGCGAGGTTAATGAGGAAAGAGCGGATATGAGGTTGTGACATGGAAGTGATTTTGTAGGATTGGGGAAACGACGGCCATGTTTTGGCGGGGTAAATTGTAGATGGGCAGAATAAGGCGGCGAAAGAAAATTATAATGTGAATTTGATGGCGGGGTACATTGTTTCATTGTTCCAAAATTTCACTCGAGCAAGCATTGATTCTATGTAAAAATGGAATTGTAGTATTTTATAAAAGTGCCCTACGCAATGCAAGGCCAATATGTTCAATCCTCTGAAGTGGTTTATTTTCATCAGTTTACTAGCTGGTTGAAAAGTATCATTAACAAGGAATAAGTCCCAGAGCTAGCCTGCTGCCTCTAGCTATTAACGCCATTTACCCATGGCTTTATCCGTAGATGATTGTATTTGCCAATGCCCCCTAGATTCCACTTTGATGACCCAAAAACGCCTCCCCCTATCAAACAAATGCTTTTAGGCTTTCTTAGGCATTTTAGGAGTACATACTGGACATATCCAGGTGCCCAAGGGATCACTCTTGACGCCAACACAAGACCAATGAAACCATTCATAAGGACAGTCTTCGTTATCGCATGCCACCATGTCTCCATAACTGATATTGTGACAAATGCAGTATTTCTTATCATCCCCACCCTCTTCGTCATCGACATCAACCATATCGTCGTCTCCATCAGCGTCCTTGCTTTGACGTCCGGTGTTCTCTTCTTCTTCGATGGAGCCGGATTCCGCATCGCTCAGCTCACTGTCGTTTGCAGAGGACGGCGAGTTTTTATGTCCTCGCTTTAATCTACTAAGACCCGATTTTCCAGGTTTACCTTTGCGTGGAGCGCCACTTTGCCTGCTGCCCTGAGGTGCCACTTTCTTTTTCTGCGAATTTCTTGGTCCAGCACTACCGCCGCGTACGGCAGATGGTGTACCTCCACGAGGAGTACCCGGAGTCATTGATGAATGGCGAGCAAGTCCACTAGAGGCGGTTGGTAGGGTACCCAGTCCTCCAGTAAGTCGTGGTCGCTTGTTCATTGCGCCAAGTGATGATTCCCGAGTTTGCCTTTGTAAAAGCAAAGTGGCAGCGGGTGTTGCTGGAGCAGAAGACGCCATCGCGCCATTAAGTTGGTTACTGTTCGCAGATATTCTGGAATTGCTTGGATGTCGTGCATGAGGGGAGGAGACTGAGTTTATGATTTCACCAAGTGGTCTCGTGCCGCCGTGGGTATCTAATCGGGAGCGGTCGATTGGTTTTGGGTCTAGTAGCGAAGGCAGATCTGGATCTTTTGGGAATTCTCCTTTATTTTGTAGCGTTTTGATTTGCTGGTCCAGTCGTCGAACGTGTCCCTCGACAAGGCTTTCTAGATCCTGACATAACTTGATTTTTTCATCTTGCAGGCGCTCTGCTTTTTCATAATTCTCGAGTATTATCTTGTTCAAGGTTGGTTCTTTTGGGTTGGGCTGGTTTGCCCCGTTCGCCTTGGTCCATTTTTGAAGAGCAGCATCGTGCTTTGCGATGACAGAGAGGCACTCTTGCATAGCTTTATCCTTTTCTCCTATCTCATCTTGCTTGAAAGCAATTTCGTGGGGTAAATTTGCGACCCGGTTGATCCAGTCATCGAGAACTCCCGCTGTATCTAATTGCTCCATCTGCGGCATATTGATATTATTTTTGTATTTGGGGACAAAATCGATGGAAAGATCGTCTCTGGGCATTGTTATTAACGTTGACGGGAATCCCGCAGCAAACGTATGTTATGAAGGTAAGATGTGATGCCCGAAGAAAAGAAAACAAAAACAAAAGACAGATAGGAAGATGTAGGTGTCATGAGAATATGATGCCTTTGACAGGAATGATTGCGCATGCAAAACTGAAGTTGCGACAGCTTACCTTGGATGTTAAAAATATTGATGATAAAAGTTACCAATCATCTGCACAGGCACAGGATAGATTAGTGAAGGGGGTGGCTCCAGCACTCTTATCCTATTTGATTAAGAAAAAATGGGAATTTTCCTTTTACAAATAATTAATTCGAGGGGCAGGGAGCGAGTGAGTGCGTGGAGGGGGATTTAGTTGAACCACCACACGAATGCAGAATGCACACAGGTGGGATGTTTGTTTGTTGTCCGTCTGGTTGTGGGTTGTGACTGACTTGTGACGATTAAAGAGAAACAGAGCACCGAGCCGAGGAAAAGATGATAAGATAAAGGCCAAGGACAGGGACAAGGACAAGGACAAGTACAAGCAGGTACAAGCACTCGAGTTATCATAAATAGGTAGAGAGGTAGGTGAGTAGGTACTTTAGATAGATGTAAGTAGGTAAGGTCAGCATACAGCCACTCGGCAAGCCCAAAGGATATCCGAATATCAATGCGATGTAGAGGAAGAAGGGTGAATGAGAGATCAGAAGGGAAAAGATCAATTATAGACCGTTCGTATCGCCTTCAATATCCACATAAAGTTGTCATGATATAAAAGGAATTGCTTGCCTTGCTTTTGGAGATTGAAGCTAAGGTTAATTAGTAAGCATGAGATCAATAACATTCAATTCATCATCCTTCCGCAGAGCCTCAATAATAATTTATTGATATTCAATGATTGGGTGATCCAGACCTTGAACTCAATCAATTCCATTGTATTCTACTTGTTTATACCTATCTTCTTCAATCAGAAGACTGATTCAGTTCTGATATTTAATTCTCTACCTACCTACTCCAACCATAAAGGGAACCGTCCAGTATCAATACCTAGGTACGAGAGGAAATTGTCGAGATTGAATCATCCCATTCGAAATATTTCATTCGCCTACCTACCTGTACCATTCGCAAAGTGACGAATAACATTACAATTCTTACCAGAGGGGAGGGGAGAGGAAGGAGCGTCCTTGGCTATGATATATAGCTAGAGTTATACTATCTCTAGAGCTACACAACAATTATTGAAACTCGATTTACTCCCAAAGAACATGATTAGCTGAAGAGCAGATTTGAAATTGATCTGTTTGCTTACCAAAGTTCTAGACAAAACGTACAGACGGTACACACCTTCATCGAGAGCTACCAGCCAATTGCATGTTGCGCATCTTCCTATCGTCTACCCACTCGCATATCTACGCCGAGCGCATTCTCTGGATCGTTCACGATACTTGAATTCATAATCACCCAATCGAGGATTCTTGCAGCTTTGATTCACACAACAATCGCGCTCAATATCTAAGGCCTTTCCACAACAATCAAAATGAGTTCTATTGTTCGGGAATGGGGAGTTCCACTACAAGAACCAAATGATTCTGATAATCTAAGATACCTTGAGGAGGTCAAAAAGGAAGTTATCAAGAATGGAATCGTTCGGCCGACGGGATACAATGTTTCTTTTCATATGAACCCCATGATCGAAAAACATCATTTCGGACCAAAACACCCTATGAAACCGTGGCGTTTGACTCTATCAAAAGGATTGATTATGGCATACGGTATGCACGTCGCTATGGATACTTATGTTTCACGTGCGGCAACTCAAGAGGAGTTGGAAGATTTCCATACTCACGATTATCTCGAATATCTCAAAAGTGCCAAGGTCGGCCCGCCAGACGAACGTGTAGAGACACCATACAACCTTGGTAGTTTCGATTGTCCAGTTTTTGATGGACTCTTTAATTATTGTTCGATGTACTCGGGTGCATCGATTGATGCTGCTCGGAACCTTTGTAATGGGACATCAGATATTGCCATAAATTGGTCCGGAGGTTTACATCATGCCAAAAAAACTGAAGCTTCTGGGTTTTGTTATGTGAACGATATTGTACTTGCAATACTTCAACTTTTAAGAAAGGTTCCAAGAGTTTTATATATCGATATAGATGTCCATCACGGTGATGGAGTAGAAGAAGCTTTTTGGTCAACAGGCAGAGTCATGACTGTTTCCTTCCACAAATGGGATCCTGTAAACTTTTTTCCTGGAACCGGCGCCTTAGATGATACCGGCCCGAAAAATGAAAACAATCAAGGTGCTCATCACGCTGTCAACGTCCCATTGAACGACGGAATCGATGACGAGCAATATATTAGGGTGTTCAAGCAAGTCATTGATAAATGTGTCGAAAAGTTCCGTCCCAGTGCCATAGTCCTCCAATGTGGAGCCGATTCGTTGGCAGGTGATCGCATTGGAACGTTCAATGTTCTTGTTCAGGGCCACGGCGCTTGTGTTGAGCATGTCAAAGGGTATGGCATACCTCTTATGCTTGTAGGAGGAGGAGGTTACACGCCTCGAAATGTTGCACGTGCTTGGACAAACGAAACTAGTATTGCAATTGGTGCAAAGCTAAACGAGGAACTTCCAATGCATACACCCTACCGCGATCATTTCCGAAATCAATCCTTATACCCAGACCTAACTGAGTTGCTAAGTGCCAAGGGGTCAGTTCCCAAAGGTCAAACCGGAGCCAGAAAGAATCACAATTCCGAGAAAAAGATCAATGACATTGTATCCAGCATTCATGAACAGCTGCGCTTTGTAGAACACGCGCCAAGTGTACAAAGTCAAGACCTTCCACCCGATTTAGGAGCTTGGAAGCAAGATGTTGAGGATGAGATCAAAGAGGCAAAGGAGCAAGAAGAGTCATATAGGTTGCAGAGGGAAGAGGGTCTGGGCGTTCTTCGAGAGTATGCTTAGACAAGTGAGATTAGTACTTGGAAAGCTGTGCTGGATAGCTCACGCGTAAGGGGCATATTGCAAAATAATAGTGGCGTTTGGATGGTGCAGGAGTTATAAAGAATATACCTGAATTTTGGAAGCGGAATCTTTGATAGTATTGAAAACCATGAAATTATACCCAGTCATGATCATGACAAAAGGGAGGAGGGCATACACCTGGTCGCTGCCAGGCTGTGAATAAGTCACAAGTTAGACAATATAAGTTTAGCTATTTGTGTATCCATAACTATAAGTCAACCAATTTTCTTGTAGTTGTTTATGATTAATCTATTTACCATTAGGGTTATTATCTAATTATTGTATAACCCACCCGAGCCACTCTATTAAATACCATTCTGTGTAGAAACGCCGTAACCATTATTCTCAACTCCGTCCATGATTAATCTATTCGTTTAGTGTTTAACTTTACTGCAACTTCACTGCTTCTCAATGTTCACATACTTCCCGTCACTTTCCTCACAAATTCGGGAGCCGGATCATATAGCATGACGTGGAAATGTTCTACCGAATGTATCGATTTCAAGCTTCTCCAATTTCTAAACCAGATGACCTGTAAATGAAATTCTTCATTAGCTTTCTCCACATGGCAATACGATACCCAGACGAATTAATCAATGCAAGCCATGTTGACAAGCCAAAGCAAGCAACACCAAAAATCTTACGTGCATACAGATATAGATTATACATCGAAAATAAAAATGAAAATGAAAATAAAATAAAAACAGTAACTCACATTCTCACCCCCACACTCTTCCCCAAACACGCGATCCACCCACATCTGAATATCCCTCTTCGCATCCTCCCTCGTATCCCCCGTCTCGAGATCATCCTCCAGCGCGAATTTCGTCCACACGACCAAATGTACAATTTTCTCATCAATGCCATAGGGCCAATCATTCAATAAAATTTTATATTCCCCCTCGTTACTAAAGGGCGGATGGCGTGCACACAAATCGGACTCTCGCCAGTGCAATTTCTCATCGAGGATGAAGCGCATCATGGAGCCGTGGGACTGTTTGATGGCGTAGCAGTATTCGAGATATTTGCGGAGGTGGGAGGGGCGGCGCTGGAAGAGATCGAGGCGGTTGGTGCGGATGAGGGCGCGCACGGCGGGCCAGCTGAGGGTGGGTGAGGCGGAGTCCGGGGTGAGCAGGATGTGGATGTCTTTTTGCGAGAGGGATTGCAGGGAGGGCGGACAGTGCGCGGTGTGTGCGGTGGAGGGGATGTTGGTTTGCCAGTAGGGGAGGGAGGAGGAGGGACAGGGGGCGGGGGTGATGCTACCCATGTTTTTCTGTTCTTTTTTTTGGGGGACGGGCTGCTTTTATTTACGTTTCGGGATGGATGCTGGGAGGCTGGATGCTGGGGAGTTGGGAATGCGGGCTGCTGATAGGTGGTGATGATTGGAGGTGGTGATTGTAGTGACAAGGTGGGTGGTAAGCGACGGGATGGGTGGTGGATGGTGGATGGGGATAGGATGGATGATATGGATAAATTGGAAATAGATTGAAGGTGTAGGGGTGGTGAAAGGATGGGTGGGGGAAGGAAGGATTTTTATTTATTTATTTATTTATTTATTTGCTTACTTTGTTTGTTTTTATGGCGTGGTGTGAAGGTAATAAGTGAAGGTAAGTGAGTGGTTGTGCTCACTCAACTGGTGTGTGGTGACCACGGGTGTACAGACGACACAGAGGATTAGCATTGCATTGCCGGGTTGCTAGGAGACATTTTTACTAAATGTGTGTCGGGTGCGGGAAATGAAGTTTAGCACCACCTCCCTACGCGTGTGCTGTGCTTTTGAATATCGGTATGAGGACGACTCATAGGGATTTGATTCTGATGATCTTTTACAGAGTGAGTACGCAGACAGACGCTTAGATGCAATGGGAAGCTTGTACTCTCTTCTCCCTCTACCTGTGAACTTTACCCCTTTCTTGGCCATCTTAGTTGCGTTACCTAGCTACCTACCTTAGCTATAGCTTGCTTTCCCCTCAAGATCTCTGCAGCTATTCTCCTGATGCTTCAGATGGCATTGGTACTTCTTTGTACATAGTGGCTCATTACAAAGTATATCCATCCATGGATCATTCCACATGCCATATATGATATACAAGTTCATGCAATGAATGAATGCATCCCTACCTGGACGACTCGAGTTTGAAATTTATTGGATTTTGATGTCACACATTCATCATCAATATAGATGTGACGGACGTGATTGGATGGTGAAATGGTGAGAAATGAGATTTATCTGGAGTTCATCGGATGGGAATCGCTTTCATTGAATCGTTGCATCGGCAGGACTCCACTCTCATTTCCTGGGCCTGCTCATCTGCGATTGATGGATTATGGCCTGGACTTTGAAGATTCAACGGTATTGAGTGCTGCTTTTATGGTGGAGTGGCTGGGTTGTGTGTTTTGTAAGATTCAATTGATGTTGTGTACGACCGACAGTCTGCAGATGTAAATGATCAAAAGTAAAGCAGCACCCATTCATTCTTCATTCATTCCATTATCGACTATTGAAGGCTTGAAGACTTGAAGAATTGAATTAAAAAAGGAAAGATCAAAGAACGAGACAAGCATTAAACCTCACAAAACTCACGATTTGATAGTGGATCCATGCCATGATCCATCCCAAACCTTCCAAACCTTCCTGCAGCTGATGCAGCTGATGCAGTGCAGCTTTCTTTGACCTTTTTTTGTAAATTGTTCACATCCAGGGTTCCTTCCTGTTTGTATCGGTGAGTGGTGAGTATGAGATAGAAGCCTGTACCGAGTACCTTAATAACAATTGTATTAAGCAGTTGGAAATCAAAACGGAACCGACTTTTCCTTTTCTTACAAACAATCCAGTTCATCTCATCTCATCTCTTTCCAGAAGTCGTTTTGTTTTGTTTTGTTTCGATTCGTCTTGTCCTGTCTTTTTGTTCACTCACTCACTCACTCACTCACTCACTCACTCACCCACACACCCACACACCCACACACACTCTCTCTCTTCATTTACAAAACATTTGAATGTCAATCTGAAAGTTGAAGCTTGCTTTCTTTCTATATTTCACTCTTTTGTTATCCTACCGTCGTTCACTCTTTCCAGATTGGAAATCGCATTGATACAGAGATCAGATCAATTACACACACTCTTTGGAACTTTAAAGTAATTGAAGAAGGCACCGTGCCGCGACCTACCATACACATTCTTTCGTGTGGTGTTGAATATCTGGATTGGGTTAGAGACTAGTCTTGAACCATTACACTCACTTTCGCATTTGACTTAACAACCAAACTCAACTTTACAAATATTCCCAACCTCGAGATTATCCTTCTGAATATAAGAAAGGTCGCATGAAAGTCTACTTTTCAGTCAACTTCTGATCGATCAAATAACTTTCCTCATCATCTCGACTCAACCAAGATATACGATATTTGAATCACAATCTTTTTCTCACTAGATACCCACTCTAATACAACAAAATGGGAGGCAAACCACGCAACTTCGGGATGAAGGAACATCGTCCTTCACCATTGAAACAAGAAGTCTCGCAAAGACCTATCTCTATGCAATCGCCCAGCATGGGTTTGGTGAGAGATCCCATGTTTTGGAAGAGGTTCTCGACGGCGGTACATATGTCGGAAGTGGACTTGAAGGAGTTGGAGAGTGGATTTGCTAGTGAGAGGGTGGAGAGAAAGGATTCTTCTGGGTAGGTCTTTTGATTTTTTTTTTTTGTGGATTGTTGATTTTTATGTCTTTTGTGGATTGTGGGTTGGAGAGTAGGGAGATGGGAGATGAGGTTGAGGAAGAATTAAGTAATTGGACGGATGAACCGGAGTATATGGGTACAGAGGATTGTAATAGAGGATTGGAATGAAGGATTTTTGCTAATCATACTGTGTGGAAATAGCGGAGGTGAAGATTGGCTGGATCAACAGTATAAGGAGAAACGCCGATGTCGCTTCATCTGTATTGGAGTCACAATATTGGTGTCTATTCTCGTGGCTGCTGCTGTGGTAGTGGTGTTGTATTTCACGGGAAGAATACACTTTTAATGTTGAGGCGCCTCAATGGAAAGGAAGGATGAATGAAACGAAGAAGGAAACTGACCTCTTCGGAATTACTTTTGACGATACGTAATGAAATGATACGACAATGATAATGGAATGGCACTTTAGATGGGAGGAAATAGAATTCGATTCGACAGGTTCGACGGCATGACAACAACGAACTCAATGGTGCAGATATCTATCGTGCGCGAACTTTTGCGAAGAATTACCTTGTTCCTACTTCGATTCGGAGGAACAAATGGTGAATGGATGGACGGATGAGAAGTTTGCAATAGGCGATGCGATGGAAAGTATGAGTATGTATGCATGGTTATATTTTGATATGTCTATTATACCGGAGTCTTAGGGAATATGCAATGGATCGCAAATTCTATCTGTCGCTATAAGTTCACAATTGCTGAATGGGTCTATTGTCTATAACGTCGATGCTCGATGTGCTTGGTTTGGATTGAGATGGATTGATGGAAGGATGGGTATGGAATGGAATGGGATGGATGGATGGGGCAGGACGGGGTGGAATGAAGAAAAGACGGTGCTAGGATTGATATTTGTATGTATACAGATATTGGTGACTGGCTGGCTACTGGCAGAATGGAGGGAAATAGATAGATAAAATTAAATCAAATCAATAACAAAAAACATGTTAAAACTTTATTGGAGGCGCGGAAAGAAACGCATTGATTGGTATATTGGTTGTGTAGAATGTATATGGATGTTTGGATTTTGGATTGTTTTAAATAGATACTTTGATATACGGAGACTTCTGGAGATACTTTGATTAGGTATGATTAAAGCTCTGAGAATTGAGAATCGAGAACTCTGAAATCGGATAGATTGGTGGAATGGAATGGATTGGATTCGGTACTTTTTCCTGGAAGGATATATCGATGGGAGGAAGGATAAATGGAAGGAAGGAAGGAAGGAAAGATGAAATGTAGTTTGTTGTAGTTTGTAGTTTGTAGTAGTAGTTTATATGCCTTTCTAGGAAATTTTCAAATATGGATAACCTTACTCTGGAAAGTGAAAAAGATGGGGGATTTTTGGGGGATGGGATGTGATGATGGGATGTGGTGATGGGATGGGATGATGGGATGTGGTGATGGGATGTGGTGATGGGATGTGGTGATGGGATGGGATGATGGATTGTAGATTTTTAGGGGAGGGGAGGGAGAGGGAAAGGAGATGGGGATGGAGATGGGGATGGTGATGGTGATGGGATGTGGTGATGGGGATGGTGATGGGATGTGGTGATGGGGATGGTGATGGGGATGGGGATGGGGATGGTGATAAAGAGGGTGAGTTCTGAATCTGGATTTGGAGTGAGTTGTAGGGTATGGTATTGTATTGTATATGGTATATGTTGCAGTTTGGAGGTAGATGGGTAGGGTAGATATGAGGATGGGAATAAGGATGGGGATGGGGTAGGTAGGTAGGTAGCATAGGGTAGGGAGGGAGGAAGGGAGGGAGGGATGGAGGGAGAGGGATGGGGATGGGGATTGGGATTGAGGATGGGGATGGGGATGGGGATTGAGATTAAGATTGAGATTGAGATTGAACAAGGAATGAATAAATGATGGATCTATATGTACTTGTGATTAGGGGATTATTGTATAATATATAGAGGTTGATAGTATAAGTATTATAAAATATATTAAAAAGCGACCGAGCTTTTTTCCATTTTTATTATTTGGATTAATTATATCATTATATTGATTGAAAATTTATATAATGAATTCTAAGTAATGAAAATATTATAAATTTATTTTATCCTTAACAAAATCATTCAAATTCATCGAAATTTATATTTTTCTTTTTAGAAATACTATTCTAAGCCTATTTAGAATTTATAAAAAGCTTTGAAAGTTTCAAAAACTTCAAAATTATAAAAATTGAAAAAAAGTTGAAAATTTAAATAAAGGGATTCAAAATTCGAAATTTTGAGAGGATAACTGAATATCTAGTAAAATTAGTAAAAGCAGTATTGGAATTTCGTAAAACAGCAACTTTTATTAAAAATGAGACTTATACGACTTATGCTGTCAACCTTTGTAGTATAGAAGAGGAAAAGATAAATGAATGAATACAAGGGTATGTTTTTGATGATTAAGTCGAATACCCTACTTTCGGGCCACCCCTGTTTTGAACCACCCTTTTACACCAAAAATCACTTTTTAGGTCTATTAATATTTTTATCAATATATAATATAATTTAATGAAAATTTGTATGTATATAATTTAGATCGATTTAAGCCTATTCTGAAATTTTCAGATTTTTAGGATTTTTCTATATCGAGATCTAGAGCTTCAAAATATTGATTTTTTAATTTGTATGAGAATTACATACAAATTTAGAAATTTTATAAAATCTTTAATAACTTTTTAACAACAACTATTAAAAGAAAACGATATATATTTTTGAGATATTTAAACTTGAATTTATATAGAAATTCAAAAAAAAATTCAAAAAAATTAACAGATATAGAAATATAGTATACGGTGAGTTTAGAGTTATATAAATAATCCCTGTCATTTTGAGGGTACTTCTATAAATATTTATTTATAATAGATTTTCTATTTTTTCTGAATCTATTAGATTGAATATGCTATAAATTTATAATAAAATTTTACAATTTATTTTTAGCAATTTTTATTAGAAAGTTATTAAAGATTTTCTAGAATTTCTAAATTTGTATGGGATTCCCATACAAATTAAAAAATCGATATTTTGAAGCTCTAGTTCTCAATACAGAAAAATCCCAAAAATCTAAAAATTTCAGAATAAGCTTAAATCGATTCAAATTATATATGTACAAATTTTCATTAAATTCTATCCATAAATAAGAAAGTTATAAATTCCATTTTTGGTGTATTTTTGGTATAAAAAGTGGCCCAAAAGGGGGGTGGCCCGAAAGTAGGGTACCCGACTTACCAGGTCCGTGCGCAAGCACTTTTTCATACCAAAATTCACTCAAACTTACCTATTTTAAAATTCAATATTAAATCAATTAATATTATTATATATTTGAAATTTTATAAAAGTAATAAATTTTTATTAAAAATTTAATAATGTAATTTTAGTTTTCTTATTAAAGTTTTTAATTAAATTAAAATTTATATTGAATTTTTATATTTAAAATTTTTATAAGAAATAATGTTTATTTTAAGAATCAAATTTCTATATAGAATTTTATTATCAATTCAATTCTAAAATTAATTATTTTAATATCAAATTAATTATTAATTAAATCTTTTTATATTATTCAAATTTCTAAAAAAATTTAATGAATATTTGAATTATTATATATTTATAAGTATATAGAATAAAGCATGGTTTTGGTGAGGAAATTCGCTTAAATTTCAGTCCGGCAATCATCAAAAACACGCCCTCGTAGATACATTCATACTTTGTATGTATAGGTATGGAGTATGGGGTGTGTAAATTGGGATGGATTATGATATTTGATAGTTGATAGTTGGTACTTGATATTTGATAGTTGATTTTTGGTATTTGGTACGATATAGTGTTTGATCTTGGGGTGTTGGGGTGTATATATGTATGTATTTATATATTTATATATTTAAGGTTTTATGGTTTTATGGTTTTATAGGAGTGCATACGAAGTAGATGGGATAGATAGGATAGAAGTATGGATAGTATGGATAGTACATATCGGTAAGAGATGGAATAATTAGAAAAGGAGAGGAAGGGATAAGATAGATTAATAGGCGAAAGAGCGGTCAGGTCAAGTTAGTTGGCTCGGTTCGGTTCAACCTGGTTGGGGAGAAGAACAGCAGAAGAAGGGGATGGGTTCTCCTATACCTAGGTAGCTATATATCATACGTGCGTGTACACTGTGTACGAAGTATGCACCGTACATTGACACCATAGACCGAGTATCAATTCTCAAGACGTGGTGAATGTGCTTCGTATCTACCTAGAAGGTACCTACTACCTATGGATGTAGGAAATAGGGATTTTTCTGGATTTTTCAATGGGGCCGCTGGTGGGGGAAGCGGGACGGGGGACGGGGTATGGATTTGCTATTGCGATTGCTATCCAACTATACGAATGGTTGAATGGAAACTTGAAAGAACACGTCTTTAATGGCTCAATGTCTCATTTGATGTTGGGGATGTGTGTGCATGTGTATGTGTATGAAGGAATCACGGAAGAAGACCGCTTCGGACCATGCCGATTACTGTGTGTGTGTGTGTCTGTGAAGCACTGAAGCTTTGAAGTTTGAGATGGGACTACGTGTTAGATTTGTAGAAGGAGTCGGTGGGTGGGTTTGTATGCAAAGGGGGGTCCGATGTATCATGTAGGTACGTTGGTTGCAAGGGGGATGTGTACTAAGGGTATTCCCTTTTGAGATATCGATCGCGCTTCTCGACCTAGAACTTGAAGGTATCGCAAGCTAGAAGCTGTGTGGAAGAATACCTAGGTACTCGCGAGAAGCTAGAAAGTCATCAAGTACACGTGATGAAGCTATTTCATGCACGACTTGAATCCGCCGAGCCTCTCATCTCATCTGTTGATTCGACGGATATTTATGCATGTCTCATCCTGAAATAAGATGTGCAACAAAAAACGTTATCGGAAAGGAATATTGCAACTCATCGTGTGATATTTATCTTGAATATCACGTGGATCTATGATATCTCCTTACTTTTGCGTGAGTTTGGGGTTGGTTGAACTTTGCCTGTTTGATTGATGATATAGATAGGTACTTTGGTAGATATGGATACTAGATAGATTACTTCCACTAGAAGCAATGTTGAGATGTTCAATGATGAATTCAGAATGATATGTTTCAGGTCATCGTTACACAAGATGGCTCGCTGGGTTCCTAGATAAGGCTGGGTGAGATGCAAATAATTTCTTACCGTTGAGAAACCCCACGTGGAAATTGTAGACATGGACATTGGAAGTTACCTATGTATGAAGTTGTCGTCCCTCCTTCGGATGCGACAAGAAGGCTGAAAGGAGATTCTACAAATCTAACTTGGATTAACTTAAAGTCGCTAGCTGCTCGTATTGGGCTATCTTTTTGGCGTCGGAAATGTGCCACATTGACAATTTTGACAGTTCGTGTAAGTAATCTGAAATTTTTTGGTATGTTTTTGAGAAAATGGGACGGAAGCTAAAGGGAGCTATCGACCTGTGGCTTTCTCCAATGTACCGGACAGGGTAAAACATGTTGTGTAAGTGTGCTTTTACTTTAATTTCAGCCTTTTCGAACGACTCATCATAGCACAACGTAAAGTCTCCGGAAATTATAGAGAAAGTAAGAAAGTTGGTTGATGTTGTTGATATACTTCGTACAGAGTAGATACTAATCAAAGTAGGGAGCTCCATCAGCTCCATCGGCTCCATTCACCAGGTGGTTGAAAGTTTAAGACCGGTAACCCCCTCCGTGATCCTCAGAAAAGACTGGAAGCCATCGAGAAATGAATATTATTACTGCACGATGTATTCCAAAATTCAATAACAATTGATGTTCATCTTTTGATCTTCTTAAATCTTTTGAATACAATATGTTTTGGATTCAAATCCATGTTTGATAGTCTGTGACAAATCGAAACAGTGACATGTTGTCTTGATGTCGATTTTCCTTTTTTTTTCTTTTCCAGATTGTCATTCTGGTGTCTGGCTTTTCGTCAGGGTCGCAGGAACCCCTTTTTCTTCTCGACTGAGAGAACGGAAGATCCAAAGAAGAAGCTAAAGTGGAATCTAGAGCTGAAGCTCTCCATAGTAAAAATGATAGTTTGGGTCTTAGATCCATGGTGGAGATATCTGACCGCGATGAATATTCCACAAGAGCATAGTTGGGTAGAGCCGGACCGGGTCAATATGGACCAAGAGGTTAGGTGGCTGTTAAATATAGAAACTTGGTACCTAACTTTGGTGACGATTGAAATATCATGGATGGCATTCTGTACGAGGAGAACCGTCAACAATCATAGGGGAGAGAGAGTAACATGTTTCTTCCATAGAGCATGTACCACGATGAAAAACCGGAAAAGGGTCGTCGTAACACCAATAATATCCAGAGCACATGTAATTCTAGACGATCTGTAACTGTTGAATTCGTTCATTTATCCATGTCCTCAGGATTTCTTGCCACAACATGAATCTGTTCATGCAAAACCGTGGATTCTTTGGGTGGTAGATGTAACAACATTTCATCGGGAGGACGAATGAGACGGATGAGACGAAAATGGTGACAATCCTGGTATGAAAGCACCCCTCTTATTAGCCAACCTGGTAATCAACTGCCCAGCCCAGCCCCTCAACCTTTCCCCGAACACAATTTATATTATTTCTCTTCCTAATTTCAAAGCTAAGAGGAACCAACTCATTACCTACCTATGTAGACTACGAGCACTACGACCACTGCGAGGCACCATCTGAACGTATATAAAGGAGCCAACATTTCCATCCGGACACACTTGCTTCTTTGACTTGATATCTTCTTTCGTGTGTTTATTGCGTGTAAATACCTTCTTGTCTTGAAATTCCAAAGTAAGTGGCCGAATCATCATTTCCTTGGCTTTGGCGGGGCACAACAACTTCATACCAGATTTCCCTGTCGTGCTAAATATTCACCGTGTTGATCTTATCGCCTAACTGACCTTCTCTTTCCTCTCATAGAAAGCTTAGATTGCTTCTCCTCTACCATCACATACCCAACCATTTACTTCTTTTTACGAATCTTCGAATATCTTCCAAATCATAATACAACATGGCAGCACAAGCATTGAAAAGCGCTCTTCCTTCCCACCTCAAGCCTTCGAGCTTATCTCCAAACGATAATGGCGAATTCGCCCGCAAGCACCATGGAAAGACACAATCACACATGGTATGTGCTGTCCTTTCATGAAATGTCAACTTTCACCATCTCTTTCGTTATGGGTCACCTACAAAAGACCACGCATCTTCACCCTTCCAGGTGACAGAAGTGGGAATCTTCTGGTCTAAATAAACAAAATGCCAATATGCAAGATTCATTACTTCAAATAGGCTTTTGCCTTTACACACATAATGGCAGGAGATAAGTTTCTGTATCATCCAGTGGATGCCGCAAAATACAAAGTCTTCAAATGACTCAAAAGTGGTGTTTGTATGTACCTGGAGTTTGCATGCATGTTGGAGCCAACTCGGAAGGGGCAAAGGTTCTTCACCACAGCAGTGTCGGCAAAGACATCGAATTTGACTCGACATTTGATCTAAACCCTCCTGTTGACTTACACCCTGCCATCTCCCTTTCGTTCATACCAAAGTCTCAAGATTTTAGCATACCTCCAACGATCGACTCTTCAGCTCTAATTAAACTAACAAACAACCAGGCTTTCGAGAACACCTCAACATCTGTAGCTGCCAGTCAGATGAGAAATGCTCTCAACAACCTCGCAGACACCGTTGAGGATCCCGAAGAGAAGAAGGTATATTCAAGCACGTTCCTGCAGACGTATCACACATATCTAACGCCGTATAGCTCTTCGAGACCGAGATGGACAACTTCTTCGCTCTTTTCCGCAGATACTTGAACGATAAGGCAAAGGGAAACCAACTGTGAGTATCAGCCTCTTGGGTGTAACACATACGTTTAGTCTAATGAAACAACAGTGACTGGGATCGTATTGCCCCACCTGCTCAGAACCAAGTTGTCGACTACAACTCGCTTGCAAACTCCGAGTCAGTTGGGTTCCTTAACAAATTGGCTGTTCTCAAGCTTAATGGAGGTCTTGGTACTTCCATGGGTTGTGTTGGTCCAAAATCAGTCATCGAAGTTCGTGATGGCATGTCCTTCCTCGATCTTTCCGTCCGACAAATCGAATACCTCAACCGCACATACAACGTCAACGTTCCTTTCGTGTTGATGAACTCGTTCAACACTGATGACGATACCTCAAACATCATCAAGAAATACGAGGGTCACAACATTGACATTCTTACATTCAACCAATCTCGATACCCAAGAATCTTGAAGGACTCCCTCCTTCCTGCACCAAAGACATTCGATTCCCAAATTTCTGACTGGTACCCACCAGGACACGGAGATGTTTTCGAGTCTCTCTACAACTCCGGCATTCTCGATACCCTCATCAAGAGAGGTGTTGAGATTGTTTTCCTTTCCAACGTTGACAACTTGGGTGCCGTTGTCGATCTCCGCATCTTGCAACACATGGTTGAGACCAAGTCTGAATATATCATGGAGTTGACCGACAAGACCAAGGCCGATGTTAAGGGTGGTACCATCATCGATTACGAAGGTTCCGTTCGTCTCCTCGAAATTGCTCAAGTACCAAAAGAGCACACCAACGAGTTCAAGTCTATCAAGAAATTCAAGTACTTCAACACCAACAACATCTGGTTGAACTTGCAAGCTGTTAAGCGTATTGTCGAGAACAACGAGCTCGAGATGGAGATCATTCCAAACAACAAATCCATCCCAGCCGATAAGAAGGGCGAGTCTGATGTCTCGATCGTTCAACTTGAGACTGCCGTCGGAGCTGCTATCCGTCATTTCCACAACGCTCACGGTGTCAACGTGCCCCGTAGACGTTTCTTGCCAGTCAAGACCTGCTCTGATTTGATGCTTGTTAAGTCGGACTTGTACTCTTTGAAGCACGGTCAACTCCAAATTGACCCCAGCCGTTTCGGTCCAGCTCCTTTGATCAAGCTTGGTAACGACTTCAAGAAGGTATCCGATTTCCAAAAGCGTATCAGCAGCATCCCAAGAATTCTTGAGCTTGATCACTTAACCATCACTGGAGCTGTCAACCTTGGCAGAGGTGTCACTCTCAAGGGTACTGTTATTATTGTAGCAACTGAAGGTCAAACCATCGACATTCCTCCCGGATCCATCTTGGAGAACGTTGTGGTACAAGGTTCCTTGAGACTTTTGGAGCATTAGAGGGTTACTGATTTACTTGCAATGAGCGATGGCCTTGGTGGATCTCCTGTTTATATGATCCACCATGCGGCATGAGTTATTACAGTTCGATGGTCTAGCATGGCATCTCTAGTACAATGAGTTAGTACCATACAGACTAGATGAGGAAAACCATTTCAAAGTTTTAGCACAATGATTGCGATTACAAAAATTTAATACCAAGATTCATAAAGATATCTCTCGATCCAATCTTTTCATGTTGTAATGTTGTGATTCGTGTTACTGGAGTAGTATTTTCTGCCTGCGTGACTTGCACGGTAGCAAGCATGCGTTGGCGAACTTATTCACACAAGTCTTAGTGAGTTGATTAACCAAACAACCGTTCGAGCATTCATTTGATGTTTGATATCTATTGCTCCACAGAGAGGTGGGTAGCGCGCCTGGCAGACCGTAAAGCAAACGTGGGACGAGGGGAAGTCTGATATGATTTGATTCGTCTTGTAAATGAATAATCCTTTGGTGTAGCCTTATCATGACTTTAAAGAAATGTTCAACTGCATTTTTCTTTTCTGGATGCGAAACAAATCATTCTCTCCCACTGCAAATACTTCTAAAAACTCACATCAAGATCAACCTTATATATTGTAACCGCCACACCCAACGAAGCCAAGGATATTTTATTCCCTGCAATATATTAAGCTTACGGAAATAGCCTATGTACCTCTTGTAACTCTTATCGCGATAACAATAGTCTGTCTGGACGATTGATGTACTACCACCACACCTCACTGGTCAAACATTATCCGTCTTGATACCAGTACACAGTTTGAAATACTTTGAGTTCCGCGAGAATTAATCGTAATTCTATTGCCATTTCGAACGGTTTGTTCGTCCTACGTGACAACGTATCAGAAGAATTTGATGTCAACGGGGAATCGAAAGGGAACGGGAAGACGACTCTGGACTGCTTGCTACGGTTAAACGGATTCGATCGTTTGTTGGTTGAGTATTGGGATTGCCAAGTTGATATTGAAAATTTGTCGCACTTGGTGGTTTAATGGACTTGAGGGGAATTGATTTATAGAATATCAGTGAGTGTTCTCTGTTTGTGGTAGGTGAGATGTCATGGGTACTTGTGAGAGGATTGGAATTGTTAATGTGATGATCAATAGGTCGCGTGCAGCACAACTCACCCCGCCTCGACCTCGACGATTACTTGTAAATTTGATACAGCGAGAAGTGATATTCGTGAATGGGGCCAGGAAGGATTTGTGCGAAGGTCATACTGTGTTAGGGAATACTCTTATCCTCCAGACTAATTGCCGATACGGCGTTGGAATTCGCATTCTTAACAATATTTACAATCACATAATACAGTATCCGAAGCTATATACGGCCCCGAACTTTTATTGAACTACATCCTGCTGTTTCGACCTATCCTATTCCATCAAATCGTTATCAAAGTCCTACAACGATGAATGATCAGTGGGTAACTTCTGCTGGGGGTCCATCCAGCGCTTCTGCTCCTCACACACCAGGGGATCGACCACTCAAGAGTCCTAGTCATTTTCCGCGGTCTCACTTCTATACCGAAGGCAGTGATTCAGGGGAGGACTCGCACATGCTGGGATTCATGGGCCCTTCTTCTTCCGAAGATAACTTCAATAGTCATGTTATGGTTGAGGCAGGCGATGAATCTGAGGGCGGAACTACTTCACAAATGAACCTAGTGAGTGGCCGACAAAATGATACAGAAGAAGAGATAGCAGCATTTGAAGGAACTATGGATGACCAGGCGACGCTTCGAATGAGTCGGGGAAGTGATGCTTCTAATTCTAGCGAGGGAAGTTCAGTTAGCAGTGTTAGACGAAGACAAAACGCGAGTCTCGGAAAAGCCCCCATGAGGGAAGACAGCTTAGGCTATAGTGTTTCTACTGCTGGCTATCAAGCAGACATGTCAACCACTTTAGATCGGGTTCCGAGCTCGTCCAGCTCTTCTCGACGAAATACAACGTCATCTAGGTTTGATCGCAGACCTTCCAATCAATCTTCGTCATCGAGGCGAACCTCAACTCAATCTAATAAGAGCAGACGAACATCATCTTCTTCAAATTCTCTCGCGGAGCAGTCGCCAAGAAGCTCGGCTAATCTTACGAATTCACCTCCGGATGATGACGCCACACCAACTATATCTCGGTCCCCCTCGAGTGTTGTACAAAGGCAGACGAGAGATCGAGAATCTGCACGGGGCGAAGTTGTAGTTCCTAGATGGCAGCCGGACTCGGAAGTTATTCAATGTCCTATTTGTAATGCTTGGTTTGGTTGGTTAAACAGAAAGCATCACTGTCGGTATGTGAATTGACCCCTCTTACTGTACCTAGTGTGTTTTTTATTCACCTTATTAACTCTCGTAGAAAATGCGGCCGTGTGGTCTGCAACTCTTGTTCTCCGCATCGAATCACAATTCCCTATCAATACATCGTACAACCTCCAGACCATCCGTCTCCATACAATTCTGTGGCCTATAATCGTCTCCATGATCCACAGGGCGAAGGACGTACAAATACTCTAGAGTTTGGAGGAGGAGATAGAGTTCGTCTGTGTAACCCTTGTGTACCTGATCCGAACGTAGCTCCACCTCAAACCAACCAAACAGGTTCTAACACAGAACCTCGATACAACATTGGGCACCACGGCCGAACACGAAGTTCTATCGTTCCCTCTACAACTATTCCAGGAAGCCTACCAGCGGAGTCTCGATTTCGACTTGCGGATCATCGTTCACATACAATTCGTGATCAAAGTACTTCTAATAGATATTCACCATCCGGCATGAATCCCACTCCTAGAACAGCGGAAGAGTTTCAGACTTGGTACAGGGAGCGAGCTGGTCTGAGCTCTGGACAAAGTGTACGTTCAAGAAGCTCGACTGTTGCTGGAACTGGACGGGATGCAACTGAAGATATGGTAAGCTGTTGATTTGTCACGAAGAAGAAGCAAATGCTGAATTTTTATCATAGTTTACATTCCTCAGGAATGTGCGAGGCCCGTCCGCTAGCGTTCAGACACCACCAAACGCTGCTGTATCAACAGCAGCCAGGCAATATGTTCCATCAGCAGAAGATTTGCGTACCCGTCCTTTACCACGACCACCTCAGATACAAGAGGAAGATGAATGTCCCATCTGTCATCATGAACTCCCTTCTAGAGCTCTCGTTAATTCCGAAACCCTTCGATCTGATCATATAATGTCCTGTATCGATCGCGCCACATCTAGGATGTTTATCAGTGCTCCAACCTCAACACCTTCCCCACCAATCCCGACAACAACACGTCCGGCGCCACCTATCACGCAATCATCTACTCAGTCAACTTCCTCCCTTGCTTCAACTTCTTCTACAGTAGCCGCACCTCCCCCTCTTGCATCAAACCCTTCAGCTGGCCCCTCTCAACCTCGACGCACCGGAGTATTTCCGTATATTGCTACGGAGAAAGATTGTCAAGACGATGCGGAATGCCAAATCTGTTTAGAGGAATACGAACCGGGATTGGAAATGGGACGATTGGAATGCTTTTGTAGGTTTCATTTGAGTTGTATCAGAAAATGGTTTGAGAAACATCCGGGAAGATGTCCGATGCATCAGCACGACGAATATGGATATTGAGAGAGATATGTCAAGAGTGGATGTTTGGGAAATAGCAAAAGCAAAAGTGTTGTGGAAGTGAGATATTGACATATTAAGATTTAAAACGTTGTTCGATACAACGATATGATGTCAGATCAGAGATGGGATGCGGTCAATGTTAGCCCAACAGCGAACATTATTCTTCACTCACATCACCCACAGGAATCGAGGGAAACACATCCTCGTGGCGTCGGGATACTGAATCTATCATAAATATGGTACTACCATATAGCATGCACATTCATTCATTCATTGATTACATTGACGAAACGACTTTTTATGGGGCATGGTGTTTATAGAAGGTTGGGTCGGATTCGAATATGGATATGGATATGGGTATGGATAGGGATACGGATATGGATACGGATATATGGATAAGACAAGGATACCAATCTTCATGACTCGTTGCTTGTTATACTGGCGTAGATAGATGAATGGAGATGTTATATTCTTTGTGATTGTTTATTTGTTTATGGTTGTGTATGTGTCAGGTGTGATGTGTGATATGTAATGTGTAATGTTCGATGTGTGAGGTGGTGAGTGATGAGTGGTGTGTGGTATGTTGGCTACGTAGATGGGTATAGGTATTGCGCTCGCGCTCATCCACATACACGTATACATGTCAGGGCTACTAAATAAACGAAATAGCTAGCTAGCTACCTGCTCCCAAAAAGTTCAAGAAATGTTTCTGTGTACCATATCCACCCGTCAAAGTAAGTCATAGTGATAAATACAAAAAAAAATGTGACTCTGCTTCTCATTCTCAAGAGTCGCACCTCCTCTCCCCCTTACCCACCAAAAGAAAAAGAGAAGAAAAGGGCCATCAAAAGCCCTGACATGCGGAACCGCACTCCTATAATGCACCTTCAAACCCCGGAACATTACCACCCATAAACTGACCAAAAATATCCTCGCCAAAATAGTTCCCAATATCGCCAACGCCAAACGTGATACCCATTGCTTGTTCGAATCCATCGCCCATTGCAAAGCCTAGATCCATGCCTAAAGAAGGATCGATATTTCCAGATATGTCGCCGTAGCCTTGAAGCATTTGAGCATTCATGGGGTTTAGAGATGGGTCGTACGTGGGAGGATATGGCTGCTGCTGTTGTGCTGACCAGTCGTTTTGTTGAACTGCGTATTGGTTTTGGTTTTGAGCTTGATTTTGATTGTCGGGACGGGACCCACCAGAATTACCTGTTGCGACTTCGCTAAGAAGCTGGAGGGGTGTGTTCGCAGGGGCAGGACTGTAACCTGGTTTTCCGCTGCGTTGTGAGCCCATTTGTTGAGCAATTTGATCTGGCTGGTTCGCAGCTTCTCCAGAATTGTCACTGGTAGATTTTGTAGAGTCGCCGGTCTCTAGATTTTGTGTAGGTGTCGATTTGCCCTCTCGTTGGCGATGGAACCAGGTTTTCAACATTATGAGAACCATCAAGAATTTCGCAGCGGGGCGAGATCTCTCATCTGCTGCAGAGGCACGGAATACCTCGACTAGACCGTCGAGATAGTGCTCCACTTTCATGTTATCCTTGATGAAAACCTTGCCCAACTCCCCGTTAGGGTTAGCTGCCGCAAAATACATCTTGATGAGGACCACGACAGCATAAGCCACTCTAACGAAGTGCGCAACAGGGAGACATCTAATGACATCAACTTCAAATTGCAGGAAAGTTTCAAAAATGCCATCGATGGATGTCAAACAACAGGAAAGAGCGGAAATATGAGCAGCAGTCAAGACATCCGGGCTCTCTGCAGGGCCATGTAAAGCTGCCTCAGTGAATGGTGGCTTGAACTCTTCAACGTTATGATCGACATGCATAGCGACTTCATGCATATAGAGGTTGATTACATGTTCCGTCAAGGTTAAAGATGCTATGTGACACTGTCAGTAATCAATGTCTAATTAATGGAGCTTACTACTTACGTGTTTGAACCTCGGGAGGTATGGACTTGCTCCATTTATCAAGCTCTTGTTCGAAACCTTTAAGAGCATACTGAACCTTTGGGTCGGCGATACTAATGCTTGCACTTGGGTCATCCATTGAAAATGATAGTCCAACTTCCTCGGCAATTCGCTGACTGAGAACCCATTGACATAACATGTTATCGGTAGGTGCTGCGTCTGGCGAGTTCTGAAGTACTTCAACAGATTCTGCCATGAATGGGGACCAACGAATGAGATTTGGTCGCCGTAAACCCATAGATGCATTACAACATAGAAAGTAACAACCCAACCACGTACGTCTTGATTCAACGGTTTCGGGGTCGGGATATGGTGTTCGACGCCACGGATGATCTCTCCACAATCCCGCGCTCTTCATTTTATCAGTTCTACCACTCTTTCCTTTCTTGCCCATTCCAATATCAATTGCCATGACTGCCGCAATGTGAATGAGTTGATAGAACTTTAGCTCTTCGAAATGTTCCGGTGGCCAATACCAGAGAGTGCTGACAAGAAGAGCTTGTATAAGCTCCAATGTCTTCTCGCCATTGCAAATGATGCGATCTGCATAGATACTCATCACTTCCTTCGTCAACTGTTTTTGAAGTGCTGGAAAATTTGTGCCCGAGCTAGCGCTCAAAATAGCTAAGAATAAAATAGGCTTTGTTTTGCGAATCTCAGAAGCAGTGGTACCTGCAGGAAAGACGACAGCTGGCATATGGGGGGCCATTCTTTCAACATAACAATTAAACATTTTGGTAGCAATTTCTGACGTTATCAATCCTCTATCTACCACATCTGCATATTCGTGGGAAGGGGTTTGCTTTAATTGCGCCTGCCATGATACTTGATGAGCATTGGGGTCTGGAGTCTTCTGCCCCATGAAGTTAGTGGTCATGAAAGAGTCAGGTGGTGTACCATCTTGATTATCGGCATGCTTCCTCTTCTGACCTGCCATGACCATCGGGGGTGCAGATAATACCTGGCTCTCGGGCTGAGAAGCTTTGGGATAGTTGGACCAGTCGTTGGAGTTCATTCTCGATTCAGCAGGGCCTGAGTAAGGCGACGCGAAACCTCCATTTGTAACTTGCTCATATGGATTCTGTCTTGCTGAAAATTGCTGGCCCTGCTCCTCAAGACTAGATTCAGCACCATGCACTGTTGGTGTGGAAGCCGATTTCGTTGCTTGCAAGGTAGCTGTTAAAGCTTCGACCCTTTTCTCCAACTCAGCGACCCTGCTGTCTGCTTTCTTCTGTCTCTTTCGACTTGGTGCAGTAACGACGCATTGCCGATTAGCTTTGGTGCATCGTTTGCAAGGACCATCGAAATTGATCATATCGGGTTCGCATTTAACTTTCAATCCTCGACAAGCTTCGCACGCTCTTGATCGCTTTGGATCGACCGACGCGTCTCCCAGCATGTGTCCATCGTCTTGTGTGTGAGTCGCCGACTGGGGTGTTTGAGGCATGTAAATTTGAGATTGGTCTCCATCGTGAATAGGTTGATGATACTGTTGTAGCTGTGCAAGCTGTGTGGGTGATGGGCCAGATAATCGAGGTGCGCTTGCAGGAATTTGAGTGTTTAGATTATGAAGTTGGTGATGGGCTTCTGAATGTGGGTGCTGTTGAGGTTGCGCAAATGAATTTGTGTTAGATTCATCTCGAAGTCGAGGATCAATTTGACCCAGATTTAAAGGATTATTTTCCATTGCGATTGTTGATTTCGTGCCGACTGTCCGATCGGAGAGTTGTGATGCCGTGGATGCGATGGTCAAAAGAGCCGGTGTTGTAAATTTTAGCGCTAGTTCGAGGTAAGAGAAAAGCTGGGGAAGGAACAAAACAAAACAAAACAAAACAGAATAATAATAACGATAATATATACGTATGTATGGAGGGATTGTTTGTCATACGACTTTTTAGATTCAAGTTGTGGCTTATTTTTATATGTAATCTGTATGGGAAAAAATTGTTTATTTATTTAAAGGAATTAAATTCCGTTTCTACATACAAGGTACGAGTAGTATATGTGATAATTCATTGGTAGTCGTATGTAGTAAAATCATCATAGCCATGAAGTTGGAGCGTATGCAAAGTACGACTCTACTTACTCAATTATATACAACTCATCCAGTTTCTTCCCCTCTTATTGTTTGCTTGAGAATCAGACATTCAAGAATACGACGACCTCTCACGAACAATTCATCGTCGGATGAGACTTCCTTGGTATGATTTAAAGCTACCTACTCTCCTCTACTCTCCTCTACTCTATTTGACCTTGTCTTTCAGCTGGAAATCCTTAGTCGAGGGGCAACTCACAAAACCACCTCAAGTCGATAAACCTGATGGTCTCCAAGACCATCTGAGTATACTGTATGATGGACACAAACACATCAAGTAAATTCGACGAGAACCAAACTTCAAATGATTTGCTCAATAGATGCTGGGGTCGTCAAGACTGCTGGGATTGTTTGTCAGTAGGCCCTTGCTCGTGGTGTGCCGTATCCTCTACCTGCGTTCCAAATACTTCTCCGATGAAGATCCTCGCACCTATTTTCAACAGTAATATTTGTCCTCTCTGGTCTGAACGATGGGAATTGAGAGCGAGACCTCTAGGTTGTCACGTTTCAACGTAAGGCGCTCAAGTCGATCCCATCCATGTGTTTCAAGACTAATCAAGGCTCAGCATCACATTTTTGACATTTCTTGGATCAATTTATGGAACACTTTTGGCATTGGGGATTATCCTTCTCGTAATGAAGTGCTTGGGAACTGGAGAAACAAACCAAAGGTGGTGGAAGATATCGAGACAGTATCCAAGGAGATTCTGGAAAAAGAAGGACTCGGGAGTGGTTGAGGCAGATGATTCCCCAGAATCTCGTCCATTATTAGAATAGATTTGGAGCAAAGTATCTCAAATGAAGTGATGGCTTGGCCTATGGATACAGAGTTCGATAATTAATTGGCTTCGTAGCTCTTTCCCCATTCTCTCGTGTCTCTTTCCCACTCTCAGATTCCTGCCCTATGATACCTGTCTTGGCTGACCCTTCATTAACGATTTCGGTGTCTCTCTCTACAAATTCACATTGTAAAGTTCTTCGCCTTCTGGGTTTCATGTACAAACCTTCCACTTCCCCAGAGAGGTCCATTAAACACATCAGATTGGTGATATCACTACCCCTCTGCGATTATTTTCTCCCACGCGACACCCAGACCCCCCATTGGGTATTCCTACACTCTCTTCTATATCTATTCAGAGAATGTCTCATAATTCTTCTACCGATCCTGTGCCTCTCAGAATCGCTCTTCATGTTGGCCCTATGAGTTCTCGCGCCCTCTTTTAGTCTTTGACCCTCCTGTAGCCTTCTCCCATGCCAACTCTGTTACCCTTCTATCGGCTAGACACCTTGCAGAACGATTCAACTCCTGATCTCACAAGAACAATTGGGATGATCCCCTGGGCCTGCAATAGTTGAAGACAGAACGTTCGCGATAAAGCTCTCCTGTGTCTCCACTTTCTGCAAGAAATATAAGAGATTCATATATCTCCAGCACGTCGCTCAATACCTTCACCCAATTATCATGCATACAATGAAGCTGCATTTCGACGCCGCCATGGCGAAAGGGTAAGCTCTTGGAGTATTCGAAAGCAACCATGTATTCATTGAAAGTCAGATAATATTTGTGAAATTGAATGCGTAAATTATATTTGCTAATAGAACGAGACAGAGACTTCACAGGGCTTTCAAATGACGCATAAATGTTATCGAATATCACAAATGGCACTCCTTTATCCAGAGCTCACTGGCGGAATAATGGCTACCTCATCCCCTTCTTTAATGATTACTTCCGTGCCATCAGAGCCTGTCTCTGGAACATCAACATACTCCAAGTTGATAGTCACTAGGCAACTGCGCAAGACGTTGTCTTTCATTCCACTGTAGCGATCCTCTAAAGTCTCAAACAATCGTGAAAGAGGGAGAGGGGCAGAAAAAGTCTCGGAATCCTTCGAGGTGTATGAGCTAGCAGTAGCAAAATAAAGAACAGTGAATTGTCCTTCCTTGAAGTCAGACATGCTCTCCAAAAAAAATCTGTGAGAAACAATCATTAGTCAAAGGCCATGATCCAATAGGATACGAATGTGCAAGAAGTTATGAAAAGTCAGAGATCTTGGTGTAGACCACAGCGAAATACTGTCGAAACAATATATCTTCAGGTAATACATGCTAATTTTTGTTCATCATACAAGTTGTATTGCAATAGAAAGAGAAGCTTCCGAGTGATACTAGACAGCTAGAAATGTATCTTACCTCAATATAATAGCTAAAGAGCTTCAATTCTTGTTGTGCCAGTATTATGAACTGATGGCTGGTGGGAAAGATTTACCAGTTGACGTTGTGCAAAGAAGAAAAAGTAGAAAATAAATACTGAGACGGTGCTCTAGAGGGAGCTTGGACCAGGTTTTGATCATCTCACGTGCGAACGCGATAACGTCGTGTAAAACGTTATCTCGATGAATCGGAGAAATTTTGCCGATCAAATACCTCACATTTCCAAAAGTCTACATAAGTGCTTGCCAATTGTCACAAGTGTTTGAAGACTATGTTGAGAACTTCCCAACTCTCAAGAAATAATGTGCGACCATTCGTTTGCTGGAAGTGTTGCGCAAACTTTAATTCCGGGGCAATAGTTGGAAGGCGACAACTACCACAAGGCCTAGACGGAAATGGTCAATCGAGGCAAAAGACAATATTAAGGCGAGGTACGAAGTCGTTCAGCACCAGCCATGTAGTAAGTAACACTTTTCATTCGGTCAAATTTTACTTTTCTGACTTAGTTTTCAGAGCCGAGCCGAAACAGAGACGCAAATTCGCAGACTTCCCGGTTTGTCTGATGTTTTGTACAGACGGAAGGAAGGGTTGGTGCCACTTAGAAAGCGGCTAGAAGCGTGGGAGGCAGAGCATGCCAGTAAATATATTCCTGTCACAATCAATGACGATGCTTCACCCGGAAGTTTGGACAATGCCAGCAGTCGAATCCAGGATAACAAGTTCGAAATCGATGACGAAGAGGATGCAGTGCATGATGACATCTCGACTGTTAGATTTGATGATTTGGTCGATGTTGGAAGTAGGCGCGGGTTTTTGATTCCCGGGGATCTCGTTGAAGTTATGTGTGTTTACTCACTATATCCCCCCCTTAGAATTTAGATGCAGAACTGACATAAGTCGACTAGTGGCAAAGGGCAGAGACAAGAACTTGCAATATATATACGCGATGTCGGCAGACTTGCCGAATTCTATACAATGTCTGGCACGTTGATTAAGGGCTCCATGAAAGCTACACACTTTTATGTACCAGGCTTCGTTAGCAACGATGAATTGAACACAATTCGACCTTTTCTATTATTGGCGGAAGCTGGACAATCGGATGGGTCAAATATACACAAATTAGATCAACAAATCCCTAGAGAAGCGACCAAGTCTATGTTGGAAAAGATGCATAGGTTCTGGGATGAATCTGAAGAGCTTTATCAAAGCACTTTTTCCAAGCTAGATCATGCTCACAATCTCGTTGCCAAAGATAAATCTTACCGGTATGCTACATTAATTGAGCTGGCCAATGAAATTATTCCTCAAAGCAATTCAAATGCGGGGAATGGTTCACCTTCATACCCTGTATTGTATGCTCTACATCGTTCCCTTATGCGCGATGAAATTGGGTTTCGACCACAATTGAGGGGGGCGACTAGAACTGGCGGACAGTACGAGATTAGCTCCAAAGCAGAGGTAAAGAATATCATGTACGTTGTCCAGGAAGTTCGCAAGTATCAAAAAGCCTCGGAGACGAGTTTGATGTTGAAAAAGAGATCTCTACTTAATTGGGTCAAAGATTGTCAGGAGGTTATAGACGAGAGTCGCAAATCACGTCAACTCACAACCCATGGTACCATTAGACCGTTAACTACATCGGATGAGAAAATAAAATTTCCACGCCAAGTTGGTAAATCGCCATATACAGAGTTTTTGAAGTCATGGGCGGCTTTCCGAACCATTGATCGCAACTCCACAATAAATTCAACGGGCTCCAGCCTTCTTCGAATCATAGCTCGATACGAGGATTTCCAATTGGATCAAAGCACTGCATGGACTTTCTTGCAAGAAATTGGTGAAATTCATCCCACAACGAACCGGGTAGCCTATGATCTTCGGGTTCATAATCACGGGTGCAACGATATTTCTCAGAAAGACTCTTTTACTTCTGAAGATAGTATGTCGGCTCTTCGAGAGGACTTCCATCTACCGGTTTACTGTATTGATTCTGTAGATGCTCATGAAGTTGATGATGGAGTATCAATAGAACGCACTGAAACACCAAACGAGTATTGGGTTCATGTTCATGCAGCCGATCCTGCATCACGATTGGAAGCAAAGGGTGAGTTTGCGGATGAGATTTCAGATCGTACTGAAACCATCTATTCGCCAAAAGAAGTGTATTTCTTATTGCCGTCTGATTTCGTGCAAAATAACCTCAGTCTCGACACTAATCGTCCGTCTTTGACGTTTAGCGCCAAGATGAATTTGAATGGTGACATACTGGATACAAGGATATCTCCACGCACCCTTTTAGATGTAAAATTCATGACACCCAAGGTAGTTGCTGAAGTCGTTAGCGGAAGTGATTCTACAGACTCCAATATCACTTCTACTTCCAGTACTGTTGGGTCACCTATCGCCCATACTTCGGAGAAGAGGACTATGCTGTCAAGCCACCAGCTTTCTGACGAGCACAAGGAAGACCTTCGAATACTACACAGGATTGGTGATGCTCGGCTCAAGCAACGTATAGCTCATGGTGGTGTTTCCATGAGCTCTGCCAATGTTAATGTATCAGTGTCGCCCACAGCGGGAACAATTCAATTGCAAAAAGAAGAATCTAGTAGTCCGGGTTCAAAAATAGACGCAGTTGCACCACTTATGTTAATCGCCGCAGAGGTCGCAGCACGGTGGTGCTACGATAGAGGGGTTCCAATTCCTTATCGTGTCACTCCTCGCAACACAAGCAAAAAAGATCCCTTGGAATTCTATAGGGAAGTCGTATTGCCTTCACTGGACGAGCATGGTCACCCTCCAAATAATATTGCTCTGCAATATTTTCGATTACTTGGCACAATACTTCCATCCACTATCCCAGGCCCGCATGTGGCAGTCGGCGTCGAAATGATGGCCAAGTGTACAAGCCCTCTGCGCCGCTATGGTGATTTGCTACTCCATTGGCAAGTACAAGCTGCACTTCGGGAAGAAGCGCGCTTAGGACATGATCTTAAAAATAACACTAAGGAAGATTTCCTTCCATTCACAAAAGCCGAGCTTGATCGCATCATTTCCCATCTTGATGCTCGCGAAAGAATGATTAAACAAGGCAACAGGGATTCTATTAGACATTGGCTATGTCACTTTCTGATTCGCGCATGGCAATTTAAAGAGGCTCCTCTTCCTCCCACCTTCAACTTTGTAGCCAGCGAAGATGTTACATACAGTAGCACATGGGGCAAGCTGAGCTTTTTTGATGCCCCTGCAAAATTGGTAGGATCTGAGACTTTTGATATTGAGAGTGTCAAAGCTGGCGATCTACTAGAAGTCGAATTGGAGGATATAAATGTATACTTACGCAGCATAACTGTCAAGGCGATTCGTCGTTTGTCATAATAATAAACATTTGCCCATCAAATTTGATTGGATATATAGTCAAGAATTGATGCGACGTGTTCATTCGCTAAATCAGGTGGCCTTTCTTCAAACTGGACACCAATTGACAGGAACTATGTACGAAGCAGATGATTATGTTCCTGGCTATTGTTTCATGGTCGTTGTTTTGTTTGGCATTCAACCTCTTACAGGAATGTTATTGCCACCAAGGGCACGTTTTTACATTCCACAGGCAAATCTCCTACCATTTCTGTTCACTGGAATTTTGCCCCCCAGTGAGATTAATCCTCATAGATGACAATCTTCCTCTAAAATGTTTATAAATTACACGACGGTTAGATCAACTTGCCCCAGTCGCTCGTTGTATTCTCGTTTTTGACTGACCCACCAGACAATCACTTATAGCTACAGTCATGCAGTTTCAACCCTCCATTCTCACTCCTTTCCTCGCCCTTTTTACAAACGCTCAATCCATCACTTTTCCTGATATCAACATCCCATCCATACCTGACACGGCTTTCTTTGCTTCCTCGACAGATATAACCAATGGCAAATCATCCTCGTCCTCATATTCATCATCCTCTAGCTCTTTTGCAGACGGCCAAGGAAGCACCAATATCCAGCACGTTAGCACAACGTGTGATTCCGACGCAAACTGTGAAACTCGCGTCAATGGCATCGTTAATGGGACCGCGCTAGGAGCCACAACTCTTGGAACATCAACGGTGAGGATAATTAGCACGAGCACGATCCCGGGTGCTAGTGGGATCTCACATCAGAGTGAAGAGACTGCTGGTCCTGTGAGAAATGGAGGATTACTTGGAGGAAACGCAGATTTGACAACGAGTGGAACGGCGGGGAGTACGGTGATTGTTACGGAAACGGCAACTGCAAAGCCCACTGGAGTGGCGAGGCTGCAGGATGTGAGTAGTGAGGCTAGGAGGGGAATTGGTAGGATGGTATGTCTTCATTCGTATATGTTTTGGCTTGGAGAGGTGCACTGAGACTAACGAGCTAACTTCGGTTTTAGGGAAATATTATCACGCTGGCACTTGGGATTGCAATAGGGGCCTTGGCATTATAGGGATCAGCTTTGAGGTGTTTTTATTCTTCGTCTTGTGGGCAATGGTTAAGAATATGTGGTCATTGACGCTGTTCTTTCGCTTGAAGTAGAAGAAGCAGTACATAAAGATCGATTGTAGGATCGATTGTTAGACCGCTATCATAAAAGTCGTGCACTGGTCTTGGGATTCTGATCGTGGTTGCAGGAGTTGCTTGGAGTTTTCTAGGGTTCTTGGTACAGGAGAGGCTGACTGTATTTCAATTAAATAGATGTTTGACTTTATCTGTTAAATTGTCTTCACCCATACTTTCTGCGGTTCGAATTGACTTCCTTCCTGTTTGACAATGGAATAAACTACCAAAGTAACGATTGTAGCATCACTCAATGTTTCTCCTGTTTGTGGATAACCTTTTGTTAAGAGACTAACAAATTACAATAACTTTGGTCAGAGGACATTTTATTACCAATTTGCCTCAACAAAGAATGCACACTGGTTTGAATTCACTTTTATTATTGAAATTACATGGTTTGCTCGCTTTTTGAACCCGATTAAAATCGCACACATCTCCAACAACTAATATATACAGATCATTCTCATCTCAATAGTTCATCTTAGCTATTTGGATCTTACAACTTCGGGGCGTAAATCGAATTCCACGCTGCTCGATCTGCAGATTCCAATGGCTGTTTTCTTCCATCCCAGAATAGAGGACATAGCTGGAACCATTTCTCCCGGCTACAGATCGAATGGACCGATCGTTTGTGTCCCAGATCAACGTACTTTCCAATGGTAAGACCTTGGGCATTCTCGTAAGACAAGATGGTACCACCTGTTGCTTTGGGCTCACCAACTGCATTCACAGTTCGTGGATCGTCGAGGAATACATAATGGATACAGCTTGAATACCAGGCGTTAACACGCTGTGGGCCACGGAACGAAGCATCACCGACGAGAGAGTGGCGTCCGCGATCATAATCTCCAGCGTTGTAGTGAGCACCATAGTGATCCTCCTATGATACCATGTCAGTATTAATGGAATAACGCAGAATACGAGTCATGAAAGGAGATGCCAACTTACTTTCGCCCAGTAGAGCTCAAAATAGGAGAAGCGGGTATCGTTGAAGCGTCCAAATAGACACAGCACGTGAGGATCGAAGTTCAACTTGCGTAGATACTCACGATGCTGGTCCAATGTTCCAGTTTCGTTCCAGCCCTTAGCAACACGAGGATCATTTTGCCACGTGTTGAAGGTCTTTAAATGTGCATCGTTTTGCCAATCAACCACTTCGAGAGAGAAATGCTCGTCCAATTCGGGAATATAGCGACTGTAGCAAATGGATCCTGGGTGTGGCTTGGGACGGCGTGTTGGGTGGTGAGTGTAAACGGCTTCTTCGGGAAATTTCATGGTGAGTTGGTAGTTCTCGGGCATGACTGGATATTGGGCTAGAGATCCTCGGACTGGACCGTCGGTACCATCTCCAATTACCCAGATAGGGCGAGGGCCAAGTGGTGAGGCAGCTCCTTGCCAGAATGCACCTCGGAGAATCAACAATTCTTCGGTGGGCGATGCGGTTTTTGCTGCGCTTGAGAAACGCCATGGTTTTGGGTGTTCAATTCCCAAACCAGTAGATAGCAACTCGCTTCGGATAACCTCCTTCTCGGAGCCACTCAAAGTCAATCGGAAATACTCTATTGTTGGGTGGGCGAGATATATTGCGTGGACAACATTCCAGATTTGACCCAATGTAGGAGCATTGTTTCCAGTCCAATGGAACGTGGTTTGTGGGCTTCGACATGCTCTTCCCCAGGCGGTATTGTCAGATAGAGGGGGACACTCCTCTTCGCGCCTGGTCACCAAATCAAGCCATGAAAGAGAATCGGAATGTAATGGTTGAGGTAAAGACTTTACAGATGTGGGTTGCTGACTATCCAATGTCAAAGTATGTTTAGCTGGTGTTGTTTCCGTGTTGGTATTTACTCGATATGTAGTCAAAAAAGGATGTGGTAATTTTACCAGAGGGTATTTGTGTGGTGCCATCCTCGCAAAGTTTATGATGTGAAGTTTATTGAGAATATAGAGACACGATAAGTTACTGTCACGGCGGTTTATTGAAAGAGTTTGGATGTAAATAAGACACTAAAAACTACAACATGGTCTACACGAGTACATACAGTTGTTTTATTTACATTGGTAATAATGATTTTCACCAAGGATCGTGCAACACCATTCATGAGGATTGGACCAAGGCAAATTCCTGACTTTTTGACTTTTACGAAATATCGGTCTAGCAAAATAGAAAAACGCTCTAGATTTGTTACGGATTTAATGCCGGGGCAAGACAAACACAATGTCGTTGATCTACCTACCTTGGTATGTACCTCATACAAACCCCACTTCCATACAAATAACAGGAGATACTCGGACCGAGCAGGGTAATTGCAACGCTACATAGTAACTATTACTAAGTTACAACTGCATCCATACCTTTCTCAAGCCGATGTTCCGATACCGCAAATTCACAATCGCGAGTCAATTCGATTGTGCTTCAAATGGAGTCTTAGTCTCAGGGATGTCGAAGCGAGAGAAAGCTTTCTAGGAAAATGTACTAAACAAGAAATTAAGAACGCACTATCCATACATACATTTACCTGCCTCGAGCCCGATAGATGGTAGATGGTGGACGCACTGATCAATAAAATATTATAAAGTTGCATGACGGGAAGCTCGTAAAACTAGTCAAAATATTATCCTTTTCTACCTGTATGAGATTTTGCGTGGCTGGCAATAGTGACATACTCTACATCGACCCACTGTTAACATGTCTCTCAGATCAAGATCCTTGAATTTCAAACATTTCAATGTCTCTTTTCCTCAAGAACGAATTGTGCAGGTCACATTGAATAGACCCGAGAAGCTCAATTGTATCGATCAAGCCACGAGTCGGGAAATCCAAAAAGTATGGGAGCTTGTTGATCAAGACGAGAGCCTCTGGGTTGGAATTATCACCGGTGTGGGGAGAGCCTTCTGCACTGGAGCCGATTTACAAGGTTAGAAAACTTCAATATTCAGTTATCATTCAGTATCGAATTATACTTTTTGCACGAAAACTAATCTAAGCCGGCGAGAACAGAATGGAACGAGATGAATAGAGCAGGGGTTGTCAATGACATGTCTGCACCAGGTCTTGCAGGACTCCCACGTCGAAGTGGCAAAAAGCCTATTATTGCTGCAGTCAATGGCATATGCATGGGAGGGGGATTTGAAATGATAACCAATTGCGATATCGTAGTCGCTGCCTCCACGGCCGTCTTTTCTCTGCCCGAAGCGAAGCGTGGGATCGTTCCTGTGGCGGGGTGTCTACCGAGGCTAGTTCGCACCCTGGGTTTGCAACGCACATCGGATCTGGTTTTAACCGGTAGAAACGTAAGTGCTCAGACTCTGAGTGATTGGGGACTCATCACTCGAGTGGCAGAGTCTGGTACGGATGTTGTTGATCTTGCTATTCAAGTTGCTCAAGATATGTGCAAGAACAGTCCCGATGCGTTGATTATTGGTCGTATGGGTATTAGATTAGGCTGGGAAGCTGGAAGTGTAGAGGAAACTGTGTCGACTTTGGCTGATGAATGGTATCCTCGTCTGGTTAAAAGTTCTAATTTTGCCGAAGGTATTCAAGCATATGTGGACAAACGACCACCGAAGTGGGTAAACTCAAAGTTGTGAGAGGGTGTGATGGCGATTCAGGATCCTACAGCGCTATTTCAGAAAGGAAAAATGGTACTAGATAGGCTCGAGATACGCAGACGAGACAGGTTCCTTCGATGCAGCTGTCTATTTTGATGTGTTGAGAGAAAATTTTGAGTATGTAGTGGAGACAGCCAAGGAAAAGTGGAGAAGAACATGTAATTATTATCTTATCAGATGACATGGATAAATATCTAATCAATCTTATTAATTTATTTCGCTCAAAAATCTATACTAAAGTAGTATTTAGCAGGGACAACTCGAATAGTCATAACCGTATTGCTAGGAGTCCCGCCCCCCGAGGTCATTGATGGTAATCTATTATCTTATCAGATGAGATTGAAAAAGATCTGATAATATTTTGAGCCCCGTAACTCATCACAATCTGATAAAATAATAGAATATTGATACGTTATAGGAAAGAAGTCCGGGTCCATCTTTTACGTCATCTAAAATCTAATTCGTGTAAGGTGGATTTTGATACTAGCTCGGCTAGCTAATTATTATCAGATCCGATGACAATCATGGGATCAGCGGGGTGAAAATTTAATACTAGGATATCCGCTAGTGGGAACAGTTAGGCTCGAGCTAATGGAGAAGTCCCATTATTTCATCTTGTCAAACAACAAGGATGAATATTTTATGTCTTATATTAACTCACTAACCAACAGCTTCATTGAACTGTAGGCTAAAACGATGTCACTCTTCCCGGTCTGTTCTTTCCAGTTGAGTCATGGTGATTGCGTGTTTGGCGAGCTTCTATGCTCAAAGTCGCACTATCATGCCGCACCCACACACGTAACGCAATATGGATATTGATCCTGACCAGCACAAAGATAATAACAGAGATAGTGGCTTTGCTGCTTTACTCTCAAAGGAAGGAGGTATGCTATCATGATCTTTAATATCCGAGCACTCCGATTCCGAATCAAACATAATATCTCAATAAAGTGCAACCCGTGCAAATTTTAACGGAATTGAACACACGGGTGAATTTCAGCTTTTCCCCTCCAAATCTCAGATCACCGCCAAAACCCCACGACCATAAGTTCTGGCTGTCGACAGGATGGGTTCTGTACATATTGATGATTTACAAAGTCAACATTCACCTGGAAATGGGTTTGTTGACTTATTACCTGGCCAGCCTGACAGCGAAGGCTTTAGAGCTTTCAATGTCAAGGGTCTTTCGTGTGATCAGGCCATTACTAGAACTGGCATGAGAGAAGAAATTTTACTTTTATCCTGGCTCATCGTGCTTTTAAGGCTACAGGACGAAGGTAGCCAGATATCTTATGACTGGGCGTACAAAACCCGAGAGGATAGTTTCGAGCATGAGCCCGTGAAGGGGTGCCTTTCGCTAGGCGAAGTGATGAAGACATCGCAAGATAATGTCCAGCAGGTTACTTCAGAAATTTCACAACATATCACGAAAGTTGTATCGAGACAGGATGCCACTATTTCAAGTCCTGTCTCGCTTTTACTGAGCACCAGTTCTTTATCCCAAACGTCTGAAGAGGCGATAGATGAAGTGAGCAAATAATCCGTTTATGTTACCAAGTCGCTAATGGTAGTGAGCAAAGGGTGTCCTCCACCTCGAATTACGTTTTACGAACGATCTTCTCGAAATCCGACCCCTATGGCACACCGAAACCATATTAGAATTTACAGTCACACACTTCGTCGAGAGTCTAGTCGACACCATCAAATTGTGCATTTCAACCCCCGATGCTTCGATCGAAGAATGTCTCCATCCAACGGCACGTGACCTGAACGAAATTTGGCGGTGGAATTACCAACTACCTCCAACATACAGCTCTTGTATGCAGGATATGATTTCTGAAAAAGCAAAAAAACTACCTACTAAAGTGGCAATTGATTCCTGGGATGGCAGTTTAACATATGCACAGATCGATCAATATTCCACTTTCCTGGCGTGCTCTCTCAGAGAAATGGGTGTCAAGCTACATGACGTCCTGCCTGTGTGTTTTGAGAAATCGAGATGGACAATAGTAGCTGTTCTTGCGGTGATGAAAGTTGGGGCAACTTTGTTGATGACTGACCCAACACTTCCGCTTGCGCGCCTTCAAAATATGGCTGAACAAGTAAATGCAAAATTGATAGTGACTTCTCGCGCCCAGTACGATTTCTCAAAACTGATCGTTCCAAATGGAAAGATTATGGTAGTAGAAGAGAACACATTTATGAATTCTTCAGATTCGCCTGCTAGTCCACCGCTAGAGGCCGTGCCACCATCTGCTTTAATGTACATAATTTTTACTTCTGGCAGCACGGGTACACCGAAAGGAGTCATGCTTTCACACGAGACTTACACAAGCAGTGCTGTTGCTCGAGCGAAAGCAGTTGGCTATACAGAGGAGTCGAGAGTTCTTGATTTCGCGGCTTACGCTTTCGATGTCAGCATTGACAGTATGCTACTGACTCTTGGAAATGGCGGATGTCTTTGTATCCCATCAGATGAAGATCGACTGAACGATATAAACGGAGTGATGCGGAAAATGCAGGTCAATTACGCAGGCTTGACCCCTTCAGTTGCTCGAATTTTGGACACGGATGTTATAAAATCGCTTCACGCCTTGGGTCTTGGAGGAGAGGCATCATCAGTGAGAGATGTCAATACTTGGGGTCAATATACGAGAATTGTAATAGGCTATGGCCCTTGCGAGTGTACCATCGGATGTACAATAAATAGCGACACAGCTACCGGTAGAAATTATGTTTCTATTGGAGAAGGAAATGGCGCTGCTATCTGGATTACTCACCCGGACAACCACGAACAGCTAATGCCTGTGGGTGCTGTAGGCGAATTACTTATCGAGGGGCCTATCGTAGGGCAAGGCTATTTGAACGATCCCGCGAAAACTGCTGCATCTTTCATCGAGAACCCGTCGTGGCTTGCTGCAGGCCACAGTGGGTATGCTGGTCGTCAAGGGCGTCTTTACAAGTCGGGAGATCTTGGAAAATACGATCCTGACGGCTCTGGAGGTATTCTGTTCGTTGGGAGGAAAGACACACAAGTCAAGTTACGTGGACAGCGTGTTGAGCTTGGTGAGATTGAAAGTCAATTGATGGCCAGACTACCATCGGAGATCAGCGCAATTTCTGAGGTGATCACACCCCAGGGACTTGGAGGACAGCCCACATTAGTCGCATTTATTGGGCCACAACAAAAGAAAGGACAAGAGGGTACTGAAATAACGTCAATTCAGCCTTCCGAAGAGTTAAGTCAAGCGCTGTCGAAAGCCACGTCAGAATTGACCAAGGTTTTGCCGCGATATATGATACCAACCGCATGTATACCAGTCAATTACATCCCCGTTTTAATCTCAAGCAAGATTGATCGTAAAAGACTGAGGCTGTTTGGTACCACGGTGGATTTGAGGGACGTGAACGAAGAAACGACTAAGGCCAGTACTCGAGATTTAACTGATCTTGAAAAGCGTTTGCGTCAGGCTTGGGGTCATATATTAAAGCTCGATGCAGAATCCATTCGAATCGATGACAACTTCTTTGCACTTGGTGGAGACTCTTTGGCGGCAATGAAACTCGTTACTGTTTGTAGGGAGGAAAGACTGGATCTTAGCGTCATCAATACTTTCGGCCACCCCACACTCTCAGCCATGGCCGAAGTCGTACATGTTTCTAGCTCGGAAGCAGAGACTGAAATTCCAGCATTTTCAATGATTTCTCAATCCGCCGAAAGTGCTTGCCTTGAAGCATCACAGGTCTGTGGGTCCGATCAGGCAGCTATTGAGAACATTTACCCATGTACACCCACGCAAGAGTCATTGTTTACATTTGCGCTTAAATCAACTGAAGTATACGTCGCTCAAAGAGTTACATGTATTCCATCCCATATCGAACTCGATGTCTGGAAGAAAGCATGGGAGAATGTTGTTGCGGCCATCCCCATTCTTCGCACTCGCGTAGCCCAGCTCCAAGAACCTGGCCTTCAGCAAGTAATACTCAAGGAAGGTATCTCCTGGAGAAGTTCAAGCAACCTAGAAAAATATCTTGAGTGTGATCGAAACGAAAGAATGGACCTCGGACACAGCTTAGCTCGATATGCTATTGTCAATCAGCCAGACGATGACAACCGATATATGGTCTGGACTATTCATCATGTAGTGTATGATGGATGGTCAGAGCCGTTGTTGTTGAAAGCAGTTAGCAACGCTTTGCAGGGCCAGAATATCGAAATCCAAGCATATATGAGCGACTTTGTCAAATATGTGCGTGATACAGATGAAGTGGCCATGCAAGAATTCTGGAGAAATGAATTGGATGACGCTGTTGGACCTCAGTTTCCACGATTGCCGTCTAGAGACTACTTACCAACTCCAGATGCGAATCTCGAGATCAACATAAGCCTTGACCGCAGCACTACATCCCCCTTTACAATGGCAACATTGATTCGTGGTGCGTGGGCGCTTGTTGCATCGCAGTATACTGGAAGCGAAGATGTGGTGTTTGGTGAGACTCTCGCAGGTCGGGACATCTCATTGAAGGGTGTCGAAAGTATTGTTGGCCCATTGATCGCAACAGTACCTGTTCGCATAAATGTCAGCCGATCAAGCTCCATTGAAGCTTATTTACAGAGTGTACAACAAAGCATGTTGCACCGCATACCATATCAGCATATGGGGATGCAAAACATTCGAAAAGTCAGCCAGGATGCTCAACATGCATGCGAGGCTGGCACAGGGTTGGTCATCAATTCAGAGCCGGAATACGTGGGCAGTGACCTCGGATTCAAGTCAGGAGATGTAGAGCACGAATCTCTTCATTTCAACCCTTATCCGCTGATGCTGGCCTGTGGAATTCGTAAAACCGGGTTCAGAATTTGCGCAAATTTTGATAGCAGCCTGATTGAGATTACCCAAATGGAACGAATGCTTGCACAATTGAAGGTGGCTTGTTCGCAATTGACTAAGGATCTGTCCAGGAGAATTGATGAGGTATCGTGTCTGCCAGAGGTGGAATTGAATCAAATCTGGCAGTGGAACCAAACTCCTCCATTGTCCTTGGACAAATCTTCGAAGAGGATCCGAGCAGACGCAAGTATCAAGCAAGGGTCGAGTTACCCCCCAGCGGTCGTCTCTTGGGTGTGCGATCCTCGAAACCCATCTCTACTTTCGCCTATCGGCTGTATTGGAGAGCTGTGGCTTGAAGGACCTTTTTCTTCGGACGAAGCTGTTGAATCTCCAGATTGGCTCGTAGCCGGAAGCTCTACATGTGGTGGTCGCACTGGCAGAGTGCAACCCACAGGCGATATGGTCCGCTTACTAGAGGACAAGAGCTTAGTATTTGTTGGTCGAAAAGAAAATGTCATGCCAGTTCAAGGACATGCAGTGGACATCACAGAACTCGAAGCCCACTTCGCCAAATACCTCCCACAAGCCGTACGTGCCGCCGCTGCCGTGTACCAACCATCGTCAGATGACTCTCAACAAACCTCAAAGCAAGAGCTACTGGTCTTCGTAGAACAACAACTATCTGACGAGGGAGATGTTGAAGTTATATCAGCCGAGCACGACCTAGTTTGCAACGCACCAGATTCACAAAATTTCCAGGCCACTATTTGTACTAAGATCTCTTTGAGTCTTGCTCTAGCACTCAAAAAGCTCGATAAATTTATCCAAGACTCTCTTCCTTCATACATGATGCCCTTTGCATACATCATCGTTGACAAGATACCAAAGGAAAGGAAGACTGTGGATCACAATTTGTTAAATCTACTAGCTTCGAACATTCCTCGATCTGTGCTCTCCGAGATTCGTCAAGGATTCAGAGAGGTCTGGTTAAATAACTCGGCGAAACAAAATTTGACAAATTCGGAAAGTGTTCTTCAGGCTGCATGGGCTAATGTACTTGGGATTCCTTCAGAGAAGATTGATGTTGATGACAACTTTTTCCGCCTGGGAGGTGATTCTGTTATGGCGATGAAACTAGTGTCAGGTCTTCGCATGCAAGGCCATGGCCTAACAGTGGCTGATATCTTCCAACACATGCGTCTTGGTGATGCTGCTAGAGTACTTAGGGTAGACCAAGCATCAGCTAACAAGGTTCAGCCTTACAAGCCATTCTCAACATTGAACAATTCAGACATTAAGACATTCTTGTCCGAAGTTGTCCGGCCAAAGCTCGCAAATCAAGATTGGACTATTCAAGATGTGTCTCCAGTGACTGACTCCCAAGCACTTGACATCAGAGGAACTATTCAATCATTGCGCACTTCCATACAATATACTATGTTGTACTTTGACGAAACAATTGATCGCCTGCAACTATTCCGTGCCTGCAAAGCTCTTATTCGAACTCATGCAATTCTACGCACTGTTTTCATTGAATACGAATCGAACTTCTTCCAAGTGGTTATTGATGAGTTAGATAACCCAGAAATTGATACGCTACGAGCCGAAAACATTGAACAATGCGCCGCCGAGCTTTGCACAAGGGACATCGAATCAGGCTTCCATCTAGGATCCTCCTTTCTTCGGTTACTACACGCCGAAGACAACAATGGTAAAGAATGCCTCATTATAGGCTTGTCTCACGCTCTTTACGATGGTGTTTCTTTGCCCATGCTACTTCGAGATTTGGAAGTTCTCTATAAAGGAGAAAAAGTTGTTGATTTTGAGCCTTTCTCGGCATACATGGCACGAATTTGTGATAAGAATATACAGACAACCGCCATGACCTACTGGCGCAATCTTCTAGATGGCTCATCATTATCCGTTTTGAATGGAAAGTCTATGGACCCTACAGACAAAGCAATCTTCCAGACAAAATCAGTCGATATCTCCCGACGCCCAGAAGAGATCACCACGGCAAACTTGCTTACTGCAGCATGGGCACTTGTCTTAGCACGTCGTCTTCAGAAGCCAGATGTGACATTTGGTAGCATTACTTCAGGGCGAAACATTGACCTGGCCGGCGCGGAGAATGTCGTAGGCCCATGTTATCAATTCACCCCCACACGTGTCTCGTTTGAGTCAGAGTGGACAGCTATGGACCTGTTGAGATTTGTCCAGAAGCAAAGTGCCGAGTCCGCAGCCCATGATTTCCTTGGATTTGATAAAATATCTAAACAGTGCACTCAATGGTCATCAGATTCGGAGGCACAATTCTTCGACTCCGTTGTTCATCATCAGGATTGGGATGATTTCGATACCATGCCTTTTGCTGGTAGAGAATGTAAAGTGGATATCTTAAATCCACACGGAGATGCGGCGACTCCTGTCAAAGCTGTAACTTTCGTCAAAGATGGGCAAATGCATGTTGGTGTAGTTGGAAGTGAAAAGGATACTGTGTTTGTGGATGCAGCTCTTAATGAGCTAGCTGCTGCTATTCAAGAGTTGGCTAGCAGCCGATCAGAGCTGTTACTTGATGGTCAAATATTTTAGTTTTTGAGTTAGTCATAGAAACTTACATCACTGAAGAAAATTCGACGGATATATGATTTTTTACATCGGAATTCAATATATGAGATATATGAGAAGCGAGTCCATCGTCTAATAGTATTATTTTGATATATATCATTTCAGAAGTCATCTGTACTCTTTAAAAGAAACGATTAGCCTGGAGCATCAGAATTCGAGACAAAAGTTTCGGACTAGAGATCTTGAGCAAATCAAATGCCTATATATTTCTACTACGTTGCTGCCCGAGTACCTTGGTATATTTGAGTTGTGCTACAACTACATAGAACGAACATTTTTAGACACCACATGTTAATAGTGTATATGACGTAATTTGTACGAGACTGTTATACAAAACTCTCATTTCGACACTGTAACGTACGCGTGTTCGGATACGGTGAACAGCAACTTAGCCACTCGATCAATTTAGATTTCTCCATCTAAACACCAACTTTACAAGCAAGGATTCATAGAGAATGTATTTATCCATAGTTTCCGGTTCGGATGCTGTTCGGGAACGAGACGCCTGCGCATCACCTCATTGTTCACATGTAATAGCAGCAGCACCTTTCAATTTCTACGGTGTATAACGAATAAACGTAAGTCTATGGGTCTTGAGTGGAGCGTCATGTATTCCCCTGTACTACCTGCTATACTAGGCGAATAGTCCGTACGTAACCTTACTAGAGAGCTGCACGACTAGTGACTAACCTTAACACAGCTAACTTGGCTGCGGACTCCTGGTTAGTGATAAATCAAGTGGAGTCGTCTTAACTACTAGTTGACTCCCCCCACCTTCCTAACCATTATCTAATCTGATGATCCGATGATCTGATAAAAAAAATTCAACATTTTTGGCTAGTATGGATCCCTAGGTACTTAGAATAAACATCTAAATTTTCAAAACCCATTCGAGCCACCGCAGAATTGCCAAGGAAGAGGGAATGCACCTGGATCTGTTCTCCAGTGTCTCCCCTTGCCCGACCCCTGTAAAAATGAGAATAAAATGAGAACTAATGGGTGAAAAAGTTTGACTGTTAATGTTGTCGGTACAAGTATAGGTATAGGTGGCATTTCAAACTTGCAATAATGACTCAATTTGTGTGGAGTGATGTCGGGCTAAATTTCATAGCAGAATTGTTATGCACCTTAATTTCTTCCCGTGTCTAACGATAAGATAAGACAAGCTCTATAATAGGCAGTCCAAGGTTGAAAGACTTTCCTTCCGACCTCAAGCAAAGTACTTCGCCATGGCCGAGAAAATTACGGCCTTCCCTCGCCTGCTTTTGGCTGGCAGTCCTTCTGCCGCTGATAAAGGCACTCTATTGCTGGGTGTGATATGTTCCATCGCAGCTGGTGTTCCCTTCCCACTGATTGGAGTTCTGTTTGGTCAACTCCTCGATGATTTCAATGCAGCTACATGTAGTGAATCTTCAAGCTCCTCTTCTGACGAAGATCAGAGTGAAATCAATAGCAAGATTCTGATCATCGTATATCTGGCTATTGCCCAGTTCGTGCTCATCTATCTGCACCTCTCATGCTGGAGTCTTCACGGCGCGCGATTGGCCCAAAGACTGCGCGAACGTTATCTGCAGAATTTGCTTCGACAGGAACCTTCATACTTCGACAATCTACCTCCCGGAGAAGTCGCCTCACGATTGAATAGCGATGTTCAGACTATTCGCTCGGGCACTTCAGAGAAAGTGGGCATAGTCCTCTCCAGTCTCTCGTTCTTCGTCACTGCTTATATTGTAGCCTTTATCAAGGACTGGGAACTTGCAGCAATGTTACTGTCCTTGATTCCGGCCTATTTCCTGATGTCATTCATTGGGACTTATTATATCGAGAAATACTCTGGACTTATGTCGGACCATGCAGCTACCGCCGCGTCGATTGCTTCGGAAGCTCTTTCTAACATCGTTGTGGTGCAAGCTTTCGGTGGCAATACCCGGTTGGAGAACAAATTCTCTACTGCTCTTAAAGCTTCGAGAACTGAAGGTTTGAAGAAGGCAACCGCGATTGGTATACAATCCGGATTCTTGTATTTCATTGCTTATTCTGCGAACGGCCTTGCATTTTGGCAAGGAAGTAAAAGCATCGCGGATTCTGTGCGCAACAACACTGCAGGTGTCACTGTGGGTGCTACGTTTACCGTCATTTTTATCCTGGTTGAAGGTAAGTTGGACTCGAATTTCACCGCAGGGTTGCACTAACACGATAACAGCTACCTTGCTTTTGAGTCAAGTCGCACCGTTTCTCCATCTTTTCATTGCAGCTATCGCCTCGTACAAGAAGCTACGTTCGGATATAGATCGACAACCACTCATCGATGGCACAACCGATTCGGGTCTTCGACTTCCACAGGCAGGCGGTTTCGAGTTCAAGGATGTTTCTTTCACCTATCCTTCCAGGCCCGAGATTACAGTCCTAAATAATATCACTCTATCCATCCCTGCCAATAAGAACACGGCCATTGTCGGTCTCTCGGGAAGTGGAAAATCGACTATCGCGGGTTTGGTCACGAGATTGTACGATCCTACGCATGGACAGATTCTTTTTGACGGCCACGATATTCGTGAGTGTAATACTCGTGATTTGAGAGGGTTCCTCAGTTTGGTACAACAGGAGCCATCTCTCCTTGATCGTTCCCTCTTGGAAAATATCGCACATGGTTTGATCAACTCTAGCAATCCCAATCATGCGCATTTGAAGACAGCACTCAATAGTTCTGAGCTTTCAGATTTAGCAAGCGAAGTCAGGGAGGGTAAGGATCTCATGGCTACTGTCGCATCAAGGTCTCCGGAAATAATCGAAATTGTCAACTTGGTTCGTAAAGCTGCAGAGCTTGCAGATGCAGACTCTTTCATTACTGCCTTGCAACACGGATATGGAACGACTGTGGGATCCAGTGGACGACTGATCAGTGGTGGTCAGAAGCAAAGAGTAGCCCTTGCAAGAGCTCTTGTTAAGGATCCCGCTGTGCTTATTTTGGATGAGGCAACGGCATCTTTGGATTCAAGAAGTGAACAACGTATTCAACAAGCCATCAACAAGATTGCGAGTGGCAGAACTATGATCACCATTGCTCATCGTCTTTCAACAATCACTACTGCGGATAATATCATCGTCATGCACAAAGGTGTCATCGCGGAGCAGGGAAATCATTCAGAATTGATGGCTAAGAACGGTGCATATGCCGACCTCGTCAAATTACAAGGCCTTGGATCAACATCTGGTAAAAATGAAAGAGCTAGCATAGACAGCGTTAGCAAATCTGTAGCCACCACATCTACTGCCGTGGATATTGAAAAGAGCAGCGTCATAAGCACCCCTGTTGGTGATGGAGAAGAATCCGAGCTCTCGGCCAAAAAGGAAACAGCTGGCGATATCTCAGAAGAAGACCAAGAGCCTGAAACTCCCAAGAAGTCTATATGGGCTCTCATGAAAGGTTATGCTCCAGCATTGCGACCTCACTTCCTTACGATTTTCATCGCTCTTGTTGCCTCTATTGTTGTTGGTGGAGCTTTCTCCGGCGAAGCTGTAATTTTCGGAAACACCGTCGGAAGTTTGAACCCGTGCAAGAGTGCCAGCTATATTGATGCTCACGGAAACTTTTATGGACTTCTATTTTTCATCCTTGCTATCATCGAGTTTTTCGGAAATTTGGTCAGTTGGGCAGGATTCGGCTGGATCTCCGAAAAAATTGTTTTCAACGTGCGAGTCTTGTCATTTAGATCATTGTTCGAACAAGATCTCCAATGGCATCAATCTGAAGGTCGCACGCCAGCGGTACTCCTCTCATACATTACCAGGGATGGTAATGCTTTGGCTGGACTGAGCGGCTCCGTCATTGGCACATTGTTCTCCATTACCGTCAATCTTATTGCTGCCATCGTTTTGACCCACATCATCGCTTGGAAAATAGCATTGGTCTGTTTGGCTTTGGTACCACTTCTTCTTGGAGCTGGTCTTATGGAACTCAGAGTCCTTGGCCAATTCGAAGACAAACACGAAAATGCATACACCCAATCTGTTGATATTGGTGTAGAAGCCATCACCTCAATCAAGATCATTGCATCTCTTTCCCTTGAGGAAGAGACATTGGCTACCTACCGAAGATCTTTGAAGGGGCCTCGCACAGAAACTTTCAAAGTTAGTGTTCTAGCCAGTCTCTGGCAGGCAACTACCTACTTCCTTGGAAACCTTGTCAATGCACTAGCATACTGGTGGGGTGCCAAACAGATTTTAGCAGGAACGTATACACAAACCCAATTTTTAATTGTAGTTTTCTCCCTTCTTGTGAGCGCACTACTCTGGAGTCAAATGTTCGCCCTCGCACCCGAACTTTCTAATGCTCGAGCCGCTATGGCAAGAATCTTGAGTCTCATCGAAATAGGATCAGACAAGATGCGAGGAAACGTGGAGGATCTTCCTTCCAAAGACATTGAAGCCATGGCCGAAACCAAATCCGCCGCTCCGTCGTCCAATCAAGGAGCTTCCAGCGTTCAGCTCCGTGATGTCCATTTTTCATACCCTGCCAGACCAGATATGCAAGTTTTGAACGGCTTGAACATCGATATTCAACCTGGAAAGTTTTGTGCCCTGGTCGGACCATCTGGTGCTGGCAAATCGACAATTATTTCATTGGTCGAACGATTGTACACACCACAATCTGGATCCATCATTATTGACGGCGTCGATGTGACCAAACACCGAGATGTTGCCTTCCGAGACTCCATTTCCTTGGTACCTCAAGAAAGTGTTCTCTTCGAAGGAACAGTCGAGTTCAACATTGGGTTCGGTGCCAGACCTGGCCACGAAGTCACCATGGACGAGATCATCGCCGCGTGTAAACTTGCCAATATCCACGATACCATCGCAGCCCTACCAGATGGATATCAAACCCTCTGCGGAACAAACGGGAATCAATTCTCAGGAGGACAGAAACAGAGATTATCCATCGCTCGTGCGCTCGTTCGAAAACCCAAATTGTTGATTCTCGACGAATCCACTAGTGCTTTAGATGCCGAGTCGGAAAAGCTCTTGCAAGACGGATTGGAGAAGGCTGCGAGGGGAATCACAGTTATCGCTATTGCTCATCGTCTACGTACGATTAGAAAAGCTGATGTCATTTTCTTGGTGGATGCAGGAAGATGTACGGATCAGGGATCGCATGAAGAGTTGTTGGAGAGGTCGGAAAGTTATAGGGCGAATGTCATGCATCAAACAGTAGTATAGAAAAAATGTTTCTGGGGGCGTAGAACTCGTATATATCCTGGGTATTTCTTTAACCACCTATAGAATTTAATAATATCAAACTCAAGTTGGTGTCCATTTTGCTTTTTCTTTTGACTATTTACAGTACCCAGCCGCTGGTCGACGGAACCTAAAACCCCTGCGACTTCCCGTCATCACCGCAGCGTTCATCGCAGAAACTGACTGCATCAACCCGATATACACTATATTAACATTTCTATGAACAATAGACTATGTGGTTGAGAATTGTATCTAAGCAAATAGTTAACAGTCTGATAATTTAGATAAATATGTTTTAGTAGTAGCCATGGATTAGATATGGTCACACATAGCCCTTCGCGATACTTGTCTCGCCTGCATATGTTGTGAAAGAGGGCAATGGGTGTATAACGAAAAACGAGCTTTAATGCAATTTGCCAAGAGCTACTCACTCAATAGGGTATCGAATTAATTGCATATATATCCTATTTAATTTCTCAGGTGAGTGTGAAGATTACAACGCAACAATGAACAAGTGTTAGTCTGTATGAATTACTGCCAATCGGAAACCGCCCAAAGCAGGGGCTTGGGCATGCTGAACAAGATCAGATGACAATTCGGAACATGTATCCTGCAATTGTCTCGGTTTGGAAAGCGGCTGTAGGTTAAGCCTGATGCGACCGTATCTTTGCCCTGGATCGGTTCGGCATGTAAGCCTGAGACGGGATCACAGTACTTTGTTTTCTCAAATTCTTCATCCACAAATGAGTGTTCTAGGTCCTAGGGCTGAAACGAAAATCTAGAAATAAGTAAAAGTGTGTGATACCATAGGGGTAGGTCATACGACGCGCCCCAAAAAGAAGTAATTAAGATTGTATCGCAAGCATGTATACTTCAAGCGACAGTGTACAAATCTGTAGCGGGCTTAAGCCCATCATTCGGGCTAGATCATTCAAAGCTTATGAAAAGATAAATTATGTACCACGCGAGGCTGACCGTTGACATGTTGATATGCAGCGCGGCTCAAAATTCTCTCACAAACAACGCAGAAAAATGAGTGAGACTTGACGAAAAGGAAAAGAGACTTCGATACACCACATTACTAAAAATGGCTCACACAGCACAGTATGAGAAGGCGAGGCCTCGAGTGCCTCTCTTGCCCTACCAACAACCGAGATCTCGAGAGTATCTACCTTGCCTTGCCCGAGTTCTCGGATCTTGAGTAACTAGATCCGAAGTCCTACTCCGAGATTGTGGGACAATCGGGAACTTTCAGCGGAAATATATCACACGTGATGAGTACAAGACTTCGATGCATGAAGACGAACTACTTGTCATGTACCTTAGTATCCTATCATGGGTCAACACTTAGATCTATGATCTCTCGAAAGCATGGAAGGATATGTCGTATTGCTTTGCTTCAAATATAGCTTCGATACTGGAGGAAGCGAAAGCGAAGAAGTCAAAATCGAGGGGAATGCATAAGGAAAAGAGTACATGTCCTGAATTAATCCCCATGTTTTCCCCACACCGCTTCTTCCACAACGGGTGTTTGCAGTAATGACGCTTTCAATCCATTTATTCTTTTGATAATCCGACAAGCTTCATATGATGTACCGACCGACAACCCCAGAATCGCTTCATGCGGGAAGCCGTTTGTAAGTATCAGTTTATGTAGGTTCAGAGCCGGGAAAAATAATCTATCATTTTTCTTTCCATCGATCAATACCGAGAAATAACAACAGAACGGAACGCATGAATAAGCATTGATAATTGCTTTTTAGAAATAACCTGTACTTTAATAAGTATTTATAATGCCTACTTCGTCTTCTGAGACAAATTGGACAATGTGATTTGTGATTAAAAGCATGCTTCGTGGCTGAAATTCAAAAGGCACCCCCCCTCTTGTCCAACCAGGCCATCTGCAAACTCTTGCAGATGACTTTCTCGAAAAAGAAAAGACAGCAAATGACCGGAGGTGCCCTCAATCCTATCACAAACATCACGAAATGCGGGATTCAGAGGAATTTTTTTACATGAGCAATCAACTCTCCCTCCTATAGACTTCGCTTGGAGGGGTAGAACCAAAAGATGCGTTTCTACAACGTAATTGCTAACAAGAGTTACGTATACTCGTAGTATGATGAAAGTTTTTCTTATGTACGAGTACAACAGATTCAATCATCCCCGTTCATCCACCTTGCTCTAGTGCATTGGTGATACGACAACAGGTGCTGCACGACACGTTCGCAACTCCGAGAGCTGGGGTTGCCGTCCCATCATTTTTTCTACAGCTGCAGGCATCTCTTTGAACCCGGCTCGCTCTAAGAATCGTTCACGAATTAATGCAGGAATTTCCGTATACGATTATACCGCATACCGCATATCGTGCAGCTGCAACGCACACTATCGGGGAAATGAGAAGATAGGGATCTTTTTATTTCTTTTCATGGGTGAAGGGGGAAAAGCGGATGGGAGAATGCGCGGAAGAAAGGCAGAGATTTAACAGCTAATAACGAATAACGAATAACGGACAACGAAACACCAACAAAATAAAACCCCTTTCCCAAGACGTGTGTGTGTGCTCGATATTCCGGGGCTCACCCAGACGGTATAATAGTTTATGAGACATACGATACGCTTAGAGAGAGACCGATAGCTACACTAACAAGACATTGGATAACGGCACCGAAGCACGATATAAAAATACGCCATTCTCTTTCGCTGATCGCTATATTCCTCCGGTCGGGGGAGGTGGTGTGGACAACAGTCTGTTGTAGGAGCTTGGTATAATGTATATGATGTATCCAAACCCATCCACATTCGGATCCAATATCTAACACCATTTGGAAAAGAGTCTAGGAAACTTTGAGAACAGAAATGCATACATGAGAAAGATTTTTTGAAAGGAAAAGAGAAGCAAAGAACAAAACTATAAAGTTCGTGACTGCAGATGTGCATCTATGTACCCAGGATGCGTGAGTGATGTGTTTCTATTATTGTCTGTATGGACTTCATTCGCATTTTCCTTCCTTGTCCTTCGAATTCAATCACCATCTCGCATACATCTTCATACATTATCTGTCGTAATAGCAGCAACACTTCCGGGTCAGACTGACATGCATTTGGTAAGGTTTTCCAAGCAAATGCGAAGACGCGGTTCTCATTGGAGCTGAATCCTTTGCATTGACTGATGTACAGGTACAGATACAGATCTCAGTATTGGATATGATCTCCCGCTCCGAATCATGCTTTGGGGGTTAAGGGGGGGGAATGCTTTGCCAAACAAAGAAGTCTTTTTTTCTTGTGTCCAGCCATCGAGCCGTCTTATTTTTTTGATACATTGACTACCTTGTTGTATCGGCTTGTTCTTTTCCCCTCTTGCTTTGACCATTCGGAAGAAAGGATACATGATATCTCTCACTCATTTTCTTGGCTGGCATGAGAGAAGATAATTATATTTATTAAGATAATAAATATTAGTGAAAACATTTTCATGAAAAGATTCGGACTGAGACTGAGAGAGAAAAAGGGGGGAGAGGAGAAGGGATTTATTAAAAAAAAGTAATCATAGAATGAGTTGAATCATTGAGTTGAATGATTCACTTGTTCACTTGTTCACTTATTCACTTATTCCTCACCTGCTCACTCATGATCATCAAGGTCAACTCATTCCTGATGCAAATGATGACTACTACCGAGGACTCTCACCAATCCCCACGCTATTACGATATCGGAAACTAATAATTCAGATAACAACCCCACCTCGACCACCATTACCCATTACCACCACCCGCTTACCTCCTCCATACATTCATTATACATTATTTTTCCCCCATCTCATGTCTCATACTTTCCCATTGTGCATTTGTGGATTTGTGGACTTCTTCCGTTGAAGACCGCATGTCACCACATCACCATATCATCATATCATCATATCACCATTACACCATTACACCATTCCCTCGATTCGTTCCAATTCAATTACCCTTTTGACGACACCACCACCACCACCACTCCTAATATCATCATTATTAGAAGAGACCACACCACTTCAACGAACAAGACGCCACCACATCCCGCATCTCATATCGCACTTGCTACTTACTATTCTACGCCCAATCCTGTAAGATTCATTCCAATCTCATCATAAGTTACAACACACATACACCTTTTCGATAGGCCGAGGCCGCCCATGCTAGTAACACTAAATCGCACATTGCATCGCGCATCTTGTACGGCTTAAAGATCCCAAATCTGTCATTGTCATTCAACCGGTACCCTAATTTACTACAATTACTTATTCTTCTTGCTTGTGCTCAGGTTCTCACGCCAATCCACATCACCCTCTTACTCTGGCTACGAAATATTCCTCCGCGAGATCGACTTTTCTATCTATGAAAACTGGTAATCGAGTGTAGTAAAGACGACGACGGCGCAATGCTTTCAACTCCACTGACTCCTCCTTATGGAGATTCGACAGATAATATCGAGAATGGCTCGTCCAATGGCCGCATGTTGACGGGCGGATCGAACTCTTCCTATACAAATCAATCATTTGCGCTTGCAACTCCGACGAGTAATTCGAGTATGATGTTCAACGAATCTAGCGAAGAATATACACCAGGGGGTCGCTCCTTCTCCGAGGATATGATGGAAGAATCCGATCAGGATATGTCTGATGGAGGAGCGCCCTTGACAACAATGCCATCGCATGCAGAAGAACCCACCACTGATATGGATCCAGGAGATTCTGAAAATATATACAATAATGATCCGGTAGCACTACACAATGACTCTCAGTACCAATCCTCGGCCAACCCATTCTATACTCAAAGTTTCTTGGAAGAATTTGATGTGCCATCGGAACTAGGAGGTAGCTTATACCCATACGGGGCCTATGTTCCTTTACCTTTACCTGAAGCCATTGACACCACCGATTTGCCAGCTGTCATGTCAGAGGTTTCGCAACAACTACAACACATTCAGGATGGGCAAGAGCATGGAGATTCTGAATCGGCCCCAGATGAACATCATGATATGTTCATAAATCACAATCAGAGTACACCCCCTGCTTCATATGTTCAAAATTCCCTTGTGCAAGATTCTCTTTTTGAAGAAGATAAAAGTTTGATAACGTGGTATGACCTCTCAGCTTGAGGGGCGCTTTTCACGTTAGCTGCGTTACTAGAAGAAGACAAGGATTCTTTTGATCAGGGTATTGGCCATGTCGCTCCCCATCAAGTTGATCAGGATGTTGACTATGTCGTTCCCAATGAAATTGATCAGGAAGTTGACCATGTCGCTCCCATGAAGTTGATCGTGGTGTTGACCATGTCACTCCCCATGAAACTGATCTTGACATCAACCATGATGCTCACAATATTGATGAGACTGATGCTAACCAAGCTGAAGTTGACAGCCAATCTAATATGAACTTCGGCGTCTTTCTTGGCGACTGGGCAACATCTTTTGCTCGCAGAGGCACAAACAATTCGAAGCCTTCACAGGCCGCTATCACTGCTCATATACTTGCCGATGATTTTGAGCCAATGCGGAGATGCGACCTTCAAGGGGAGGAATGTGACATTCAGAGAATTGATTGGACAGACTTGGGGGTCACACGATTGGAGGCTAGACAAAGACGTCGGGCCACTTACAAAAACTATACCAACCTTGTATACCCCAATCGTCCACAGCTCAATGTGAGTTTACTCGTACTTATGGATTAGTTGTTGATCTGACCAGATTTAGCCCCGGCAACTACATGGCACAAGACTTAGAAATGTTGATAATTATTTCAAATTCCGCCAAATGGATTTTCAACACGACGTCCACATTCGACACTTTCAATTGCGCAACTTAATTACCTGCCCCTCACAAAATTGTGTAATATACGCCGCAAAGACGAAGGTGTTGTATTATGACCCTACCTTTGAATCGACTCCTCGCGTGTTAATGGATCTTGGCAATCCAAGGACGCAGTCATATCATTCTTCCTTGAATGGGTGTCAAGTTTCCACTCTCACTAGTGGCCACGAGATCGTTGTTGCAGGTGGATTTGAGGGGCAATACGCATTGATTAGCACTAGGGTTCAAAAGGATGCGAAACATACTGAAGGCGTGATTACAGAGCACCCAAATGATATCACAAATCATGCCCAAGTTCATCTGTCAAGGTCTTCCTCGCCTCTGATTACCTTTGCATCAAACGACTCTGGCATTAGGACTCTCGACGTCACAACCAACAAGTTTATTTCGGAGCATATGTATGATCATGCTATGAACTGCACAGCTGTATCACCCGATCGACGTCTACGTGTACTGGTCGGTGACACTCGAAAGGTTATGATCTGCAATTCCGAAACAGGGCAAACTTTACAAGAGCTTGAGGGTCATCTTGACTTTGGCTTCGCGTGTGATTGGTCTGAAGATGGATGGACGGTAGCGACTGGAAATCAAGACATGCAAGTTAAGATTTGGGATGCTCGCTATTGGAATCGACCTGTAGTGAGTATTGCTGCAGATATGGCTGGTGTCAGGAAACTCAAGTTTTCTCCTTTGGGCTCTGGTAGGCCAATTCTGGTCGCAGCGGAACCAGCAGACTATGTCAACATCATAAATGCCGAAACGTTCGATAGTAAACAGACTCTCAGCTTCTTCGGAGAGGTTGGAGGCTTCGACTTTACTAACGATGGCCAAGAGCTGGTTGTTGCAAATTGCGACACCTTGAGGGGTGGGATAATCGAATATGAACGTTGCGATTTTGCTACCGAAGGTCTGTGTGGGAAGGATGAGCAACTGAGAAATATGATGGAAGATGACGAAAGTAGATATATGATGGCTGGGAGGAAGCGGAATTATGGCACCAGTCATCTGGCTGAAGAACTTCTAGAGGAGTCACCAGCCCTTCGAGGTACTACGAAGCGCCGAGAAAGAAGAGCAGCTCTTCTAACCAACTTGGGATCATTCTAAGTATTCCTATACACAGACGCATTTCGATTACGGAATACCATCTACATTGTTGAGAGTTATATTAAATGGGCCCAGAATAACGCCTCAAGTATTTATAATTTGTTGGCTGGTCATTCAATCCCTCTATATACTCCGGTACCTACATTTAAATATATACAATCCGCTACTGGTGGCTGCTCAGATACAAGTCAACGGCACTCTTTTTTCCTTTGTTGGTATTTTATTTCAACTATTCGGCATTATTTGGAGTCACGAATTCATCATCATCATCTTTGGTGATTTGGCATATGGGATGAATAAATGGCATTCCAGGAAGGACTGCATTGGCATGAAATAAGGAATACCATTTGGGGACAAATTCAAATCTTCTAAATTAGCGATGGAGTTTTGGGGCCGGGCTTAATTCCCGTATTTTTTTTCTTCTTGGCGAATTTTTTTGGTTTGGTAGGAAGGATTTGGTATGGATCTCAAGGGATGAGATGGAACATGGAGAAGGAATCCGAATGTGTAGGGAGCATTATAAGTTTGTCTATATTTTACTTCACTTCGATTTGTGGCATTTTTGCGCCAGTTGTTAGGCATTTTTTAATTCGTTCTACTCGGGGGGAAAAAGATTCAATATGGGCTGGGATTTGATTTGAGATGTGTGAATGAGATTGTGGATCTTGTCAATAGGTAGGGCCTGGACATTGTGAAGTGGATGGATTATTTAAAGGGGTTTTGTGGTGTGAAGCGGATGAAACGGAATGGCATAGAACTATTCTGGTTTTCATCGGCACATCTGTCTCCAGTTTAGCATGGAACGGTACATAGGAACTTCAGCAGCCTGAATGAATATACAAAAGTTATTGAGAATTAATGGATATCTTACCGTGTTTCTTGAGCAGATTTATGTCTTGATATCTTGATTTGGGTGTTATCTGTTGAGGGGATAGATGGTCTTCCTGTGTTTTGGTTGTGTGGCGAGGGGTTTTGGGGATTTATATATGTATTTATATGGGTTTCTCTTTTGTGTTTCTCCAGGAGGTAGTACTTGGTATGCTAGTACATAACCTTACTATCGGGGCATAAAGAATCATGCGGGCGGCGGGCGCTAAGCTTTGAGTTTTGTTTTAGTATAGTTTTTGTTGGTAATTCTGGTGATAAAATATCGAATCTAAATCTCGCATTCCTCCGAAAGCTTTCAGACTTATTATTGTATATTAAACTTTATTAAGCAAGTGGAATGAATACATACGCAGTACGGCGATTGGTCGCATCGCACTTGTATACAAACTCATCGCCACCATTTATTTCAATCTTATTCTGCTTCAGCCTTCTGCTCGCGAACGATATATGGAATTGGGATTTGATAAAGTAGGCGCGATATATACGTACAGAATCTACCGAATGATCATTCAACTCAGCGTCTTTAACGAACGGTGCAAAATACGAGGGTGAGGGGACGTGAGAGCGGGTAAGAGCTTGGCGTCCGGTCTCCCTGGTAGGTTATGCACCGCGGCTAATACTTTAATTTAAGCTTATTACCTACTTCATGGTTGGTAGGGCTTACTCTTTCGAATGTGGGTTTTTTATGGGGCTTTGCCTGGTAGTGAGTGGTACGGTCGGTCACCTTTGGGTTTGGGGAGTGGAGAGCAAGCGCTTGTGAGGATAGGGGAGTTGTGTGACTTGGTGTATAAGCTTAAGCTTAAGCTTGAGGGGGAGTGGAGTGGGTGGGTGGGTGATTGCGCGTGAGAATCGAAGACGAAGATGGGGGATCGCGGGATCGTGGGTTGGGTTCGGCGCTTAGGATGGAAGGTTGGAATGGAAGGTTGGAAGGCTGTGGATTTTTTTGATTTTTTTTTGGATTTATTGTTTATTTGCGCGTGAGAGTTATGCTGTTGTATCGGTTGTGTGATTCTAGATCTATTGTTTTCTGATGATTTAAATGTGGAGTCTTTTTGGTGTACTTGGAGTGGTGAGTTGGAAATCCATGTTGAGTGTTGGAAAAATCTCGAGTTTAGCAACTCCGTGAAAATCTTGGGTCGTAGCTGTTTATCCTCCTGTGTATCCTCTATCGAGGCTGTTTCATTGTATATTCCCATTTTAGAGATACAACATAATCCTTCTCTGTCTAGTCGTCGCCCCCAAAGTTGGGCGAAGCAGCGAAGCGTCAAAGCGACGAGATGTCCAAAGGAATATGACCACCTCGGCGTATTACACGATGTATAATGCCAAGCGAGCAAAGTAATTCTGTACGAGAAATCTTGAGCAGCATGACAAAATTTTCTGTCAAGAAATGTACGTCAAAGAAAGCCAAGTGTAAAACAGCCTCTGGATAGTTTTTACATGAAGATTGATCCTCAGATTGATGGTGAATAGAGAGATCAAAATCTATATAAACGCAGTTTCCGTCACGCATTATAAATTTCTCTTCGTCACACAATCATACAATCATTCAATCATCTCATTCAACCACACAATCAACTCAATCACCTCAATCTAAACCATCCAACAAATCCACCGCAATCATGCAATTCACTACCATTATCATTTCCTCCATCCTCGCTCTTGCTACCAACGTCAACGCTTGGTCCCAGGATCACAGTACTCAAGTCTGGACTGCAAACAACAACTACACGACCATCCGAGGCTGTAAGTGTTCCCATACCCATCTTATCCAATCCGATGGTGTCAGTTGGATATTCAATTAACTCTACTTCTTAGCCGTTGTCCACGAAGCTTGCACCGAGATGAACACGGAGAATATTCATGCTGACGGAGCGGATTGTGCTTACTGGACTAATGGTGTAGGGGGCATTTTGAACGGAAGTATGTATTTTGTTCTTCTTTTTTTGTTTCAGAATGAGAATGAGTCGGATATCATGGATGCGTACTAACACAATGATATAGAGTGCAGCTATCAAGGAAACTCGGTTCTGTGCATCAGTGGTTGTTAGAGGATGGGAGCAGATGCGCTGTCGGTGATAGACTTGTGATCAGGGTTTGCGGGGCTTTTCGCCCTTTAGATGTTTCGTTCTCTTCGGTTCCGTGTCTGTTTTTGTAGATCTCGTTTCGGTATATAGTTCAATAGAATAGAGTGGCCACTCGTTCCTTGGATCCATCGTTTTGGGTTTATGTGTTTATGTGTTTTTGTGATTCTTTTCTTCTTCTTCGTGAGGTTGATCGTTATGTTTTTCTTGTGTTGTAGTGTACTCGTGAAGTTGCTCTGTACTTTGAAGTTATCACATTCGACTTGTTATAGTTTTGTATTCATGAGTTTATTAATATCCATAACCATTCTAGTCGTGCTTTGGCTCGACTACTTTTAGCTCGCTTCTATTGCTAGTATATATTTTCCTCTCATTGTCTTCTGCAATTCCATAATTCTTGACTCCGAGTAGGTGATTCATTCAATAAGTATTACAGTTCTAGCTTCTGGAATAAGCGTTAAGAACCTACAACTTATGAAAGTGTGAAAGTATTTAGGGGGGGGTTAAGACGCGAATTTTTAGCCGATATATTCACTAGCCAGAAACTTTCGAATGCCACGGTGATTAACAGGGTTACTCTTCTCTTAATTGATGTGATCTATGCTGAATTTTGCCACCAAAGAAACTAATGCATATCCAGACCACGATCTCTTTCGCAATCTACAAAGCGATGATAGTTTACAGATAAATTGAATCAATTCTGATATACATTCTTTCTTCCAGGTCTTGCATGTTTCAATCGTTCTCGGAATTTGAACAATTCTATTATACAATAGAGCTTCAGATCGAAAGATCTCATATCATTGAACTACAGCTTGTTAGATTAATATACTCAATTTAATAACGTATTTCTAAAACCTTAAATTTCAATGCTTTATTAAAAACATTTACATATTAGATTTTCCAATTTTAATTTATAATATTTTTATTAATTATAATTCAATTTAATTGAAAACTTAATTAAATAATAAAAAATATTGAATTATATTATTTATATAATTTTTTGATTATTTCAAATCGTTATTAATCGAATTAGAACTTTCGAAACAAAAGTTTGAAAATAGCTTAAAAATATATTAATTTTCAATTTCAAAATCGAATTTATAATTATTTCTTTAATATATTTATAAGACTATACATCGATTCCTTTAATTAAAATATTAATTATTTTAAAGAGTTTATTTAATTTAAAGATATATTAATAAATCCAGAAGTATTAATTGAAGTTGAATCTCATTTTAATAAAATTGATGAGGTACAAACTTTCGCTTCTTTTTTTTGGAAATGAATTATTAAATCGGGTATAATGTTACAGTGAATAAATAAGCACGACACGATGACATCACCAACCATTCCCGATATTTAGAAAGTAAAGTAACCTTACGGTCATCCAAAAGTTTATTGTACTAGAATCTGTACACGCGCAGTTTTCCTTACACGGTGTACCGAACCTTACACGGTGTATACACGATATATATTCGCTTAATTGGTATACAGATGGTGGGAAGGTTTATATGGTGTAAGTTCCCTTATACGGTATAAATTCGCTTACACGGTCCCTACACAGTGTATACACTATATACCGGTTACGCATAACTCCACTAAGGAACTCTCAAGTATCTCGGCTGGAACCCATAGAAATCTAAAGAAATCTAGATACGCTAGCAGTGGGTAACTGGCCGAGACCGAAGAAGATAAAAACACAATATTCGAAGTAAATTTCCTTGACCACGATTTAGGATTTCCCCATCCATCTGAAGTCGAAGCTGGCGAAGTAGATTGAGAGATCCCCATGCGGGAGTTGGGAATAGTAGCAAAGCTTATAAATGCAATCATGAATCTAGAACTTACAGATTTAAGACTGGCGAAACCGGGCAGGAGTTGAATGGCGGATGCGATGGAATTGTGGTATTTGAATTTGAGGGGAGGGAAGGCTATATAAGGGTTTTCGGAGTCCCTACGCGATTCGACTACCAGGCAAATTGTCTAGAAGATTCGCAATATTTGTAATGTTTATACTCGATTTCATAACATATGTCCAAAAGAAAAAGCACCTTTTTCAATATAACCTAATCGAAATTGAAAAATTGGAAAATATAATTCAATCAATATAACTTCAAATTCAAAAAACTCTATATTATAATTTAGATCTCAATTAATAGAATCTATAAATAAAATTTGAATAAAATTAATCAAAAGTTTATTGAATTGAAAGTGATTAAATGAAATTATGATTTTTGAAATAGTTTTCAGGTTTTTGAACTTTCGAAAATTGAAATTCATTCAATTACCTTTAATTTAATAAGCTTTTGATTAATTCTATTCAAATTTTATTTATAGATTTCATTAATTGAAATCTATATTATAATATAAAGTTTTTTCAATTCAAAGTTATATTGATTGAATTAAAAGCAATTGAATTGTTTTTGTATTAAATTTAACAAAAAGTTGATTAGATTAAAAAAAGTTATGTTTTGAACACACGTTATAAAATCGGGTATAAACCAATACAATCGTTTAAACTTGTTGGATCAAAATATTTCCAGAATTTGAGAGCTTGTACACTTTATTGTAATCAATTTCTATGACCAAGTTTACGGACACACTGACATAACGTATTTAAAAGAAGGCCATGTCTATTGATTAATCACTTAGACCTCTGAAAGCGACTAGAATTGACAAACAATAAATATCTCTACCCCATTATCACTACTCCGCTCGTCTCCTCTTCACGCCGCTCTCGGTAAATCATCAATGCATTTCTGCCTCCTTATCCTTTTCTCTTATCCCCTTTCCTCATCCTCCGCCCCGCGAAATGCGTTTGTTCATCAAGAATTAACCCTGTTATTCAGAACAAAGCAAAACCAAGCATACTTAATTCTCAGCCCCCAAATCCCATGGCAAAATCGTATCATCCGTCCACACGCCTCCTTTTGGTTTCCACTGGTAAAAGGGTTACTACATGTTCCCGCGCAGAAAAGCCAGAAACGAGAGAGAAAAAGAAGAGTCGAAGCCATATCAATCAATCAACTAATCAATCGACCAAAAATATCCCAAGATATAAAACAGGGTTCTAAGACCAAGGAATATATCATAATATCATCCAACAATTCCCTAACCTCCAAGGTCGAAGAAAAAGCACAGTGAAATTCAATAATGTAAAATAAAACTCACCATAGCATACTGTTCCTGCGGTAAACACTTATGACATAATTCCTGCCACTCCTCACTCATGTTTTCCTTGGTTCCATAAATACAATATTTAAGTAACGGTCTCCAACCGTGTTTCTCGAGTAGGAATCTCGCTCCTTCTCTTCCTGCTCCGCCTTCGGCTTCACTCCAGCATCTTGTATCGTTAGTTTTATCTTCGTGCAAAAAGGAGACTTTAGGTGATTTTTTTTTTTTAAAGAAATGAAAGTCTACGCTAGGAGAAAAAGAATTTCGATGTAGAAGAGGTTGAAATTTCGGGGTTTAAATTGAGATATAGAATTAGGTAAATAAGAAAACCTGCAAGATTGATAAAATTATTCACATACTCCAGATTAAGTTCTTTAGCTTTCTCCTCTCCGAATTGCATCAAGAGAGTTGCTACGCCTTGACGACGGTAAGAGGGATGCGTAGCTAGGATATTGAGGACTGTTCGATTTCCATGATTAGTTCTTTCTATTCTCGTAGAATCTTATTTCTTCCCAAAGAAAGAACGAGAGAAGAAGGAAAAAAACCTACTCACACACCCCCTCCTCATCCAACTCATCCTCGGTCTAAATGCCTGTGCCAACACGAAATTCGCAAACTCCCTCCCCTCCCCCTCCGGCCACCACCCCGCCTCAATCTTCGGCATCGGACTCGGAAAAATATTCTTCTCATTCACCAACCAATTCGCCGCGCCGACTACCTCGCCAGTCTCACTATCCTGAACAGTAATCCAATGACTCCCCGGTGTATGCGTGTGATTGTTCCAGAACCAGTCTTGGGAGAGGGTGAGCGCGGTGGGGAGATCGGGAGCGGAGGGTGTTTGGATGGCGACGAAGGGACGGTAGGGGGTGCGGTTGGCTTTTTGGATGAGTAGGGCTATGGTGTGGATTTCGGCGCGGGTGTGCGCTTCGGTTACGGTGAAGGGGGACATTTTGGGATAAAGGAGGTTGTGTATGTAGGTGTGGAGAATGGGAGATGGAGAAATTGAGCTAGTGTGGTGAGTTGAGAAGTAAGTACTCAATTTATCTCTTCTATTTCCTTTGTTGAGAATTCTCGAGATTCAGAAAAATTTGTCTTTTATAGCTTATATCCCATATCTAATATTCCGCACCTCGACCACGTCACAACCGTTCGCAACAGTTGGTACCCGCAGTTGGTTGGTTGGTCTGACATACATCGCAAATTACAATTTCCTACAACTATATCTCAGAAAGGAAATTCCTTATCTATTCCACGATATCGAGTTTCTAGCTTCCTGGTTTGGATAGTTGCAACAGGAGTATATGTTGGGGATACGTATATCGTGAGGAAATTGATACGGGTTGTTAGGAAACTGTTTTTTTTTTCCGGAAGTGTGGGAGAGGGGTGGGAATTTGGAAGAAATCTCCCGTGTAGATTTGCCTCATACGAGTATATAGACATGGAATATTGTGTTACTTTTATTCTCAGATCTTAAGTATGATAAGTAAACTTGCAGTTGTAAAGAAGAAGTCTTCAAGTCATCTGAAAGCCCTTCATCATCCATCCCTCCACACCCTCGAGCAATCTCAAGTCAAAATGTCTGATTAAATCAGACGACCCATCAACTCAAAGATCAAAGGGCTCCTCCTATCAAAGCCATGACCGACCCTAACATCATCGACTTCGATGGCCCAGACGATCCCGCAAACCCCATAAACTGGACTCCCCGCTACAAATGGTCCATGGTAGCAATTCTTTCCCTGATGAATCTAATGGTGTACGTCTCAACCCTAAAATCTCCCTCACCTTCTCCTCACTAAATCCTCCAGAAATCTAGGAACCATTATCGTAGCACCCGCAGCCCCGCAAATCCTCGCAGACTTTCATGAAAATAGCGGTCTATACTCTACCATCCTGGTATCCATCTGGGAGCTAGGCGAAATTCTCGGGCCTTTGATAATCGCGCCTCTCGCGGAGCTTTATGGAAAGCTGATTATATACAATGTAGCCAACGTCCTCTTCATCATCTTCTCGATTGGAGGAGCGACCAGTACTAACATCGACATGCTCATTGCGTTTCGATGTTTAAGTGGTTTGATGGTTGCATCTACAACACTCAATGATGGAACTATAGGTGACATGTTTCCTCCAGAGCAGCGTGGAGGTGCTATATCACTTATCAGTCTTTGTCCACTACTGGGTATCATCGTTGGCCCAATCATCGGAGGGTATCTTACGGCTGCTGCGGGATGGCGCTGGACATTCTGGATCATCTCTATTGCAACCGGTGTTGTGCAAATAGGATTTTTGTTCCTGAGAGAAACATACGCGGTAACGATTCTCCAAAAAAAGACGAACCGGTTAAGAAAGGAAACAGGAAATATGGCACTCCGATCTAAATACGCGAGCGATCTTTCTAAAAGCCAGGTCTTCCGAACGGCAGCTTTAAGACCTGTAAAAATGCTTCTCTTCTCTCCGATTATTCTGATTATGTCTCTGTATTCGGCAGTTATCTATGGATGGCTATATCTAGTAATGACAACCCTAACCGAAGTATTCGAGTCACAATTCAACGTATCACAAGGACCCGTCGGACTCACCTTCATCGGGATAGGAATCGGCATGTTTATTGGAGCCATCAGCTGCAACCTCCTCCTCGACAAATGGGCGATCCGAGCCGCAGCTGGAGGAGAGATAAAACCGGAATACAGACTGCCAGTTATGGTTCTTGGCGGTATGATTCTCCCAATCGGATTCTTCATCTACGGATGGACAGCCGAAAAACACATTCAATACGTCGTCCCCATTATGGGGACCGCAATTATATCTTGCGGGTTGATACTTACGACTCTTCCTTGCGTCACGTATATTGTGGATGCATATACGCAGCATGCGGTGTCCGCCATGGCAGCTATGATAGTATTACGAAATGTGGCGGGTACGGTGCTTCCTTTAGCCGGGCCGCCCCTATACGGCAAACTTGGGCTAGGATGGGGCAGCTCAGTTTTGGGCTTTATTGCACTGGCATTTGTCCCCATACCATTATTGCTGGTAAAGTTTGGAGAGAGAATTAGAACGAGTAGGAGATTTGAAATGAACATGTAGACGATAAGTTAAGGGCGTGGCAAGATGGGAGAGAGTTTGAAGCTTAGGTTTTGTTGGAGATAGATATTTCAGTATTTAGCATTGTTTCTCCGTACACGACAGCATACTATTTCGAAGAAATCAGTCTTCTTTCGCCTCATTAGTTCAGTTAACAAGTAGTGAACCTTATTTTGACAAAATTATCAATATTTGCCATCTTATAATATAACAACATCAGGGATATGCACTGAGTCGGTTTGCCCTGGTATTTGAACGGGGCATTTGAACGGATATCCACCTGGTGGTGTCTTGCAAGATAAAATAAATATCCGAAGTGTTTCTGGGTATGATTATATGATCTTTATATAATCTCAACGGCCTGATCGAAACAATTAGATCATATTACACGACAAATTACTCTCATGCCTCCCAAAAGCTATCTAACTACTCTCATACTCTAGAATGTTTTGCTCTCATGCTCCTTAGATTTTATTCTAAACGAATAGAATCTAATTATTTTAGACTAAATTTTACAATAGAAAAGAGAGTAGATTCTATAGTAGGAAAATAGATTCTAGTTACATAAACGCAGAACAACGCTTAGCCTTAAAAAAATTACGAGAGCAAAATACAAAACATCCCTAGAATCTAGTATAATACACCGTATCATCTCAACATATTGAATCAGAGATAACAGGAGAGTATCCTCACTAGACTACACTAACATAGCCAAAACTGGGGAAATTTGGGACAAAGATTACGATATTCAAGTCAAAATCACAGCCTCTGGTTAGTTTTCTGATTTCCGCGAATAGAAATGCCCGAAAGAGACTTTGTAAAACGAACTAAAAGTCACCCGGTCACAAGCCAAATGAAGGTAAAAATATATCGTAGCTAACTGCAGCAGCCTTATCAACAAACTACGATCAAGCTGGCGCATGTTGGAACACCAGCTCTGATTTGAGAGTAACTTTCCGCGACTCCCACGTAAAGGGACGAAAACCACTCAAGATACAACTTCTACTTCCTGCTCATCAATCATCTTTTAGCTTGCTCATTTGTTCTCTGCATGCCTGAGAAGCACTACTAAATCCTGAAAGTGAAGTTTACCCGATGTCTCAGAGTTCGAATGACTATCGCAAAACATTGCAGTGAACAGTACCTGTTGTGGTTCTGGGCGGTAGGATTCTCCCAAATATGTATAGATCCTGCTTACCATATTCTTTCTCCCCCATCTCCAGCAATGATGCTAACCCTCGCGTGGTAGCTTACAATACAATCCAACACATGCAGTTTGCAAGCAACAACGAAGGAGTAGAAAACACCATCTCAGTTTTGTGTAGATACATTTCCTAGATAGTTCGGCGACGCGAGATACCTTCCTGACTAACAATAACCTCGCCATGGGATCGTTCTCAGAGACCACTATGCCAGGCACTGATCGCATCTTTAGACGCTCTTGCTCTTCGAGAATCTCAAGCAACTCGCAAGCTTCGAGGCCCTTATGCAGAGAGCTGCCCAGAGACCCGGCCACAGCATATCCCGCAATGTCACCAAGTAGTTTACGCGCCGTAAATATTTCACCCAGCAAACCCTGTAATATCTTGGATCAAGACGACTCTAACATTTTGTACGCTGGACGTTGTATTACAGACCTTTTCACATTTCTCGACTATCCGCTTGAGACGTCCACTGATCACATGAACACAATAGCTGAGTCAGACGATGAACAGGATCAAAGCTACTCAGCAGCGTACGATGTATAACGAATCTCGCAGGGCCCACGCATCAATGACTCCAACAACGCATGATAAGGTGCAAAGCTTTTGAAGAGACCACGACGCACAAGATTTTACTAACAGCAACGCAGAATCACAGAACAAAGATCAACATGAAAAGCTCCCCTCCACCGCAAGAAAATCACTCCCACGAAGAGAAAAATACAGCCCGGAACTAGAGTAATACCATCCTCCCTCCAGAAACCCCCCAAAGACTAAACAAAATACCTTTTCCCTCCCTCCCTCCAAAACCCCCCACAAAATCGATCCGAATACAACATCATCATCAGCCGATCCCCAAAACCACGATCCAGATATTTAATTTCAGACTCGCCAGCTTAGCGCATCAATCATACCAAAACGACATAACATACATATGCTAACGAACAAGTCTCTACACCATACAGTTCTGATCTACCATGCCAGGACAGCTGGGCAGCACTACAACGAAACGAAGAATGCTATTTTCACTATCCTACTTTCTTTCACTATAAGTACCTAGATAGACTCGACGTGTTTACATTTTCAAGCCCGCCTGTGATATCCCATCCACCCGCTATTACAGTGACTCTCTCTCCCTGCATCGATATCCCCACCAGTATTTATATATATGCGAGCTTCATCTCCCTGAAATTCGTAATCAAAAGATAGGTTTCGATGGAATCCATTAGCTTTGCATAGCTAGGTAGGTACCACCTATGTAGGAGCCGCAAATGCGAGTCGAGCTATGCTGCGTGCTACAACGTATTTACAGTTGCTCTTTGCATTGACGAGAAATAGAATAAATGGTCAAGCCGGTGATGTGATACGACGCACGTCTGTCGGCTTTTTCTTCTTCTGATAGCGGTACGAAAAAAAAGGAAAAAAAGAGTATGTCATACATACCCACGGATTCTCTAAACCTCGATAATAGATAGATATATAATATAGGTAGTTAGCACTTACTAAATAAACCCAGAAACAGTTATACTCCTTCAAGAGATCTGAAGAGAACAGATCGGGTAAGCGATACACCGATGGATTATACAGTAAGATTATTCCCCTTTTGAATTTCTAGAGCCACAGCTACACTCATAGCCATAGATATTCATAAGCACCAGAAAGCGAAAGAAAGAAAGAAAGAAAAAAAAAAGAAGAAAAAAGAAAGAAAAGAATCAAGTGCCTACTCAGATATATCGATGCCTGCCCACCTACCTAGCTACATGAATAGAATATCTAGGTATGTATCTGTATCTATATCTATACATCACACAGACGACTAGCCAACACCACCAACTCCCTCAACTCCCTCAACTGCCTCAACTACCTCAACTCCCTCCACACTTCTTTATCTCATCATCCTCCTCCTCCTCCTCCTCCTCCTCCTCCTCCTCATCATCATTATCAATCATCAATCAAAAACCCACACATAAAAACATTCACCCATCCACCCACCCATCATTCACCCATCCACCCACCCATCATTCACCCATCCACCCATCCATCATTCAACCTCCCCACACATATCAACCATTACATTACATCAACCATTACATCAATCAATCAATCATTACATTACATCAACCATTACATCAATCAATCATTCAACCTCCCCACACATATCAACCATTACATTACATCAACCATTACATTACATCAACCATTACATTACATCAATCAATCCATGAAATCACATAACGTCATTATATTGAGTAACAACAAAACAATCACTAGGTAGATACCTATCTCTTCCCCATCCACTCATTTCCCCATCTACTCATTTCCCCATCTACTCATTTTCCCATCTACTCCTCCTTCACCAAATTCAATCATTTCCCCACTACTCAATCCATCACCATCTCATCCCATTTCAAATTTCAAATTTCGCCCCCAACTCACTCACTCACTCGGCTAAGCCCCCTGGTGAAAAAAGTCCACCTCCTATAATTCTCTCCGTCGTACATACATGTGCCATTTTTAGCCGAATACCCGCTCCCTGAAATCTCCCTTCCCACTCCCAAAAGAACCATGCTGACCCCTGCCCTCAGACTATGCTCCATGCCTCCCCGTTCAAATGCAGAAATCATCAATGCTATATAAAGAAATACGCACACAAAAATATTTCTTTTTTCCTCGAAACATGATAAAATAAAAAGATAAAACCAAAAGACGCCATTCATTATCTAGAGTAATGAAACGCCACGCCTCGCATGCAACGTATCAAACGCGAAAAAAAGAGCAAGGCATTTTGCCCAATGCATTCAAATCTTATCCTGCGAGATCTATATCACGCCTTTCTATATCGACAGCTATGCCCACAACCAACAGTCTATCTCTGCTAATACAGTCCAGACCACACTGCTAGCGTTAATTTCCAGACTCGGCTTCTTTCATTGTGCCAACCAATAATTATTAGACATCAAAACTAATTGGCGTGGCTGCAAAGCTTTTCGCTTTCCCTCCCCAAAGTCGGAACTTCCTATCGCTTCTTCACATTATCACACACTCCTTCTCATCTTTCCCCGGTTTATCGACTGCCGAAGCACTTTTCTTAATCTTGGCCGCATTTCGGGGTGGGGCAACTTCCATCGGTGTACCTCCCGACGCTGCAGCTCTGATTTTGGCAAGTCGGTGTTTCGCGCGCTCATCGCCAGATTCGGCAGCTTTCACGTACCAAACATTAGCTTCCAGCGGATCGCGTCGGCAACCAATACCCATCTCGGTGAAATATCCTACAGCATACTCTGCCTTGAGAAGACCTATAATGTAATTAGTTTTGAGTGGATGAATGAATAATGTAGAACACATACCCATGTCAGCAGCTCGTCGTGCCCACTCATATGCCTCATTCTCATCTTTTTCGAGTACCGGTTCAGCACCAATCAGATACCAAGCACACAACGCCATCATAGCTTCGGGATTACCAGCCTCCGCGGATCCATTATAAAAATGCACACTTAGAGCAGGATCTCGAGGACACGAAAGCTTTCCATGTTCATATGCCTGGCCTAGCTTGAAAGAAGCATCGGCGTTTCCTAGCTCTGCAGCTTGGGTAAAAAGTTCAGCGGCATAGGCTTCATCCTTGAAAAGATCTTCTCCGTAGCCATTCTCGTACAATACTCCAAGATGATACGGCGCAGAATTGTACTGGGCATCAGCCGATTCAGTGGCTCGTTTCAGCCATTTAAGACCCTCCTTATATCGGTCAAAGCCGAGGTCGCCAGAGAGACAAGCTCGACCAAGACGAGTCATGGCACCAGGATG